TTTATGAAATTATGTTTCCGATAGAGTCTTCATCAACACCTAAGCGTTTTGCGCGATTTTTTTCCCCACTGTATCATTTACACCGTATAGTGGAACAAACAATTTGTTATTAATTATAAGTATTTCTAGCACTATATAGTAGTAGTGTAGTACGCTTTACAAACATAGATGGTAAGTGGGATTATTTCTTATCTGTGTCAACTGAAAATACTTTCTTGTTCTGATTAGCTCTCAGCTTAAACTAACAATGATTACGTAATATAACAGCAGAATAAAATTATTTCCGTTGTCATGGTACACTATTATTAGATGACCGGTTACCGAGATCATGAAGCTACTAAACTAGATGGTTGGGCGATATGCTATTCACAAATAGGGATTTCGCTGTACCAGATACACGATTCACATCTAGACATAGAGAATCAAATTACGGGTTTGACAATATCATATCCAACACGACTAAAAAAGTCTGTACGCACAGTAAGTCCACCGCAAATATATAAATAATAAGAAGGAGATCGCATATCAGTAAGCTCAGTATCTGTCTGTCTACACTCAGAGGTCAATCACTTCTTATTTTTACTAGCTACACACCATTATGCGATTCTTCTAACTTGCTTGACAAACCTATCAAATGATCCTACATGTGTTAACGTAATTTATCAATTGAATTCATGAGTCGATCTAAGCTAACGTAACTTATCACAAAATTTCACTCAGTTAATAATAGTTAGCACTGTAATAACTAATCAATAAGATTTTATCGCTTTCTATTATCACAGTATTTATTCAACAGAAAGTATTATTTCCATTAGGTTATGTAATATAATAAATTCTAACATGAAAAGTAGTACTTTTATTTTTAACTACCAAATGAACTAACCTATTATATCAGATCCCCAGTGAAGTCGTGGGTATACGCTGATGAGGAGTCCCATACAAAAACAAAAACCACTGTTCAATGTTTCTTAGCATTTTATTGATTTCACAGATTGAAATCATGAGTCAGTTGAAGCTAGACCACCATGGAAAACCTGGAAGCACTGGACGGCCGTTTCGTCCTAGTATGGGGCTCCTCAGCAGTGCGCATCCACGACCCCGCACCACGCGGGGCTCGAACCCAGGACCTACTGGCTTCGCGCGCGAGCACTTAACCATCAGACCACCGAGCCGGCATCCAACGGTGTTAATGTCTAACTTCAACCAATCCACGAAGTTGCGCCACCGTACACCATTGTCTTCAGTGAGCTCATATCTCACAACAGACCTGGTTGAACTCCACTGGTAACGGCTTCTCACTAGAACTTCGGGAGTTTTTCCTGAAGTCAGTCACTAGTGAGCAGTTGATTATTATTATTAGAATGGGTTTTGTGGAGATTTTAGAAATTTCACAGATTGAAATCATGAGTCAGTTGAAGCTAGATGCGCACTGCTGAGGAGTCCCATACTAGGACGAAACGGCCGTCCAGTGCTTCCAGGTTTTCAATGGTGGTCTAGCTTCAACTGACTCATGATTTCAATCTGTGAAATTTCTAAAATCTCCACAAAACCCATTTTATTGATTGTCTAACTTATGTCGGTTCGTGATTTCATTAAGAGTTAAACAGAAGTCTTTTTTCCTAGCTTTACATACTTCAAAACACACCATTAAAACAACTCACTATTCAAGTATACTTTATTTTCATGATAAACAGCAATATAATTTAGTGTACAAGATAAGTGTTTTAATGTGCTTTTACTTTTTAAAATGGAAAGTTAAACAAACAAATTGAATGACAGATTAAGCTACATTTTTACCGTATGTTGTATATTTTGAAGAGGAGATTTTCCTTATGAACTAATGTCAGATAAAGAACAATTTTCCCCAAAAATCAAGAAGTGTTCAATCTTCAACGAGAATCAGGCTTTCATATTTATTGAGATTGAAATATGAAATTTCAGTGTATTTTACTTGTTACAAAACTTGAACATTTAATCTATATTTAAGTCTGCACTGTATGTGGCCTTACTGAATCATTACCACCTACCGAAATCAAGATAAACAAATGATTGTTCACTTATCCATAGTTTCGCAATAATTCTTCAACTGATATTATTTTGTACATGTCAGGTTAACCATCCTATTTTAAGTGTTTCATCAGCATGTCATATCTTGTATTGTTCTGTTCATTTATTAAGTGAATTCTGAATGTTAAAGCATGGTTTTTACTGAGGACTTCAGTTCGATCAACTAAAGTTACTTACATATATCTTCTATGAACAAGCTACTGTAATGTATCCCAACGTGCCTAATGAAAAAGCAAACAAATTAAAACTTAGAACTTAAAATGAAATTCTCAGTTAAAATCATCTTTTTATATGCAACACTTACAAAATAACTGGATGCAAAAATGACTGAAAACGCTTGGTATTGCATATATATTGAACAGTGAATAATAGATGCGCTACAAATTCACAGACATGTATCCTATCTCCTTAATGTTAATAATTACCTGTAAAATAGCATCAATAATAAATATAAAAACATATTGTTATATTTAAAGCTTAAATTCTTGATATACTGCGTACAACTTCAGTACTCGAAATTTAGAATCCTGCAAGTCGTAAATGAGAAGATAGAAGACAATTGAAAGAAATGCTATTCCAAACAGTGTCAAATATGGTACAAAACTCTCAGATATTTATAATTTTTATTAAAGACGAAATTATTATTAAAGTCATTTAATCCGTATACCGGGTTTTTTATCATTTGTCCAATAGGGAAGCTACACTTAGAAACTCTGGAATATTCTTCCAAAAGATGATTAGATGGGATATATTTGGCTCTTTCTGAGCTATTTAGAGCTTCCTTGTGTTCACCCATAGGCCGTCTTCACACATATAAACAATTATTAATCAGTTTTCAAAATGAAAATAAAAACCGACATAAAATTCCCAGATATATTTAATTCACTTAAAATTTATTTTATTCTGTTATAATTCTCTCTTACGGTTATAACCCAGCTATTCCTATTGCTTAGTATTCTCGGACACCGATTCACTCGACAAGTCTCCAAATCAGAACACGGTTGAACAGGAGAGAGATTTTATTCCAAATAACAAGGTTAGATGGAAGTAAGAAGCACAATAGGGAAAACGTTAGTATATTTATAGTTTTTATAGATTTCTAGAGTGTTCACTAAGTATTCACTAACGCTGACTGCATTAGAATTAGCCAATCAGTCTGCACGAAAGCAATCGTGCATTGAGCATGCTTTTATCCAGTCTATGTCCCGCTAACACTAACAAAAAAGAAATCAATCCAAGTCAAGAAAATAATAACAGTAACGATAAAAGAAAAGTGGGAAGAATTATTTTAGTGAATAATTTTAAAAGTAAGACAACGATTATTTCGTTAAGATTAAAGAAAAGTGAAATAAACTTTAATGCTATAAGAGAATAGGAAGGCCCTAGACAGAGTGAGTTGGAGAATGCTGGCCTACGGTCTATGCTCCATTGAGAGTAACAGGCGTAAGTATGTAAGTACTATAAGAGAATAATTCTCTTATTCACATTTCTTTCGACACATTTAATTACATTATGATGTGAAATGGTTCAAAATGTATAAACTAGTTTACATAAACGATACACACAAAAAAACACAATTTATCATTAGCATGAGATCCTAACATAGTGATAATATCATTCACATAATTTTTAATACGAACGGTAAGTATTAACTTTTTCAAAGTGTTGACAAAAAAGACAGAGAAAATTGTCTAGTTGTTTAGCTTTTCTTTAGTGTTAATGTTTACAATAGCTGATTAGATTACCACTTCATGATAATAATTCGTTCATTTAGTACAGTTTTATTAAACTTCATGGTTATCATTTAAAAAAAACAATCTGGTTGTAATATCTCAATAAGTGGAAAAATTAGATTTTCAGGGGTTTCGTGACTCACTTCTTCAGAGGATAAATAACCAAATTAAAATAAACCCAAGTTTAAATAGTACAAAGGTTAATCTTAATTTGATTATTTATTATCTGAAGAAGTGTCTTACATTGAGTCACGAAACGTCAGAAAATTCAATTTTTCTACTTATTGGCATATTACAGATATATTATTTTTATTTATAACAATCTACTCAATGCTCAATTTATTTGTAATTATTAAGGCAAACCTGGGTAATGATACCTACAAATCCATGGTTATTGTAATATACAAAATAATAATGAAATAATTAATGGCGTGAACCACTTATATCCACATAAGTAGTATATAACGACAGTCAGGAATAGGATGTATTTCAATAAAAGGTCGAGAAGGAAACAACGGTAACGGTAAGAAATTGGCGTGAGAATGCAGGAACAATGAAGTCTGAGACGATGGACTGATATTTGCAAAAGAAACAGTCAATTATGAGATAATTGATTAGTATTTTGCAAATTAGGTATTTTCTGTACGGTTCTCAGATTTTAGTGAGATGTTCAGTAATTTCGTGTTCGAATACATTTAATTGTACCCAGTCGTGTTCTTGTTCGCTACACTGTAACATTGTGCTAGTAGTAAATTTCATTAATGAATTGTAGTATGTGGTTTAATGTTAGACTCAGTGTATTGGCTAAATTTGGAATGATAGTTCAACATTGAAGACAATATGTTAGCGAATGACTGGTTAATTGTAAAAATCATTTTATGTATATGGGTAAACATAGAATTCAACATAACAATATGTCAATTTATGTTGAGTTACTTGTTTATCGATTGTTTTGTTTAATTGTTATGTACATACGCGATTTATGACTGCTTAGTCACATAATCTTACTGAAATCCATTTTAAGAATAGTTAATAGAGTATTCAACAGTGAACTAAAACACCATTAGATTCATTCAGTCTACCAACTTATTCTACAACAGATGATAAAATTTCTAGTTTCATAGAATCGAGTTTGACTACATTTTTAACTGTGTATAGTTAAATTTTTATATATTTAATTGTTTTTTCTTCTTGACACAGATCTAATTCTACTAACATCTATCATTATGTGGCCAGCAGGATGGGATTCAGTTACAATTCGTGAAGTTTGTGGTGGCAGTGTTGGACCTTATTCAAAAGGGAACTGTTCCATAGGTAAGTCTAGTTTAGTTCAATAAAATATACATTTTTTCTAAAAGAAAGTTAATTTAATTATCAGCCATGCATTGTATTAAGATATAAAAGATCAATCATTCAGATGTGAATGATTCTACTTGACTTTCACTTTTGAATATCTATGATAAACGTTTATAATAATAGCTTCTTTTATAAATTAACGAATTAAGCTTAGAGGGATACAGTGAGAGTTCACAATAACTTTTTCCAAGTGATATGATTCATTTGAATCTAAAATGTCAACTGGTTACACTGCACTAGATGTTTCGAAAAACGTTTTCATGGATATTGGAATTTACTTCACACGTAATTTTTCTTGTTAGTGAGTAGGAAATAAGGTAGACATATTTACATCTAAGGATTAATTGCACAGCTAAATTTCATTGGTTCATAGTTAATATTTCTGAACAGTTAGTTGATTTGAAGCAGCTGGAAACCAAACTTTTTCATCCTAGTTTGAGATTCTTCAGAAATCTATACTCACTACCTTTACATAAAACCATGTCTAACATCTTTAGGTCCTAAAATTATCATTGTGAAATCCAACTAATTTGTATCAATCCAATGAACCATATTATACAACCTTATCTAATTTATGATAAGGTGTGACTTATTCGATATGACAGCATTTAGCTAACAAAGTGGAAATATTTGACTTAAAAGACCCCCAAACGGTAATAAAAAACTTAGTTGGTTATTAACTAGTCAGTTTTTCTGACAGTATTGAGTAAAAACTATGAGCACGTAGAGTGGTAAATCATATTAGTAAGAATACTATATTGTACACAGAATACACAACATTCATAATTCAGTGGCATAGTAACACGGAAACACTAGACAACCAAATATGACTAAACATATGCCCTCTCTCTATTCCTTTTTCATCTTCACAGGTTGGGCGCCATTGGCTTCAATTTGTGGAATAATTCTTCTGTTAATCAGTGCTATATTATCTATAGCAGTTGACAAATCAATCACTACACAGACAGCAACTAGACAGATACTAATGAACGAGAAATCTTGTGTTTTTCTACATTAGGGAATATTGAATTTTATGTGTATTTGACAGATATAGAAACAGAAGAAAAAAAAACATTTATTTACCGATCACTAGCAAATAGATGTCTTTATCAGAGAGAATACATAAACACATATATGATTACATATTTATTATATATGTGTATACTATGATGTATAACGATACATTCCGCAATTATTCTAATGTTCAGAAAAATCCTATCTTAAGTTCCAAAATAAAATGAATAGTGAATTACATTACTAACGCTTTCTTTTTTTCAATCCCTACAGATAAAGTTAATCTGTTAGTTTATTATATCATTTGAGTTAAATGAATCTTGAGTAAAGTCATTTGGTATTAGCATGCACAAACGAATGAGTTAGTCCATATTATTAGTATTTCAACAAATAAGTATAGATTTGTGTTATTATTTATTTGAACACATAAATATTGGTACAAGAGGGCACCAAATATATATGCGCCACACAAAACAATGAGAATTCTAAGAGAAAAAAAAGGACAATAACGAATAGATTAGTGTAAGGTAGTGTAATAATAATAATTATTAAAATAATAATAATAATAATGGGGGAAACCGAAAGGTACAATCAGAAGAAATCTTTCAGTTAAGGAAGATACAACCATTTTTTTATGAAGTAAAAGAAGGTTACAGCAGGATCGCCACTGGCTTCTATTCTGAGTCATATCTGATAACATCTCTAGCCACTGTGTTGCACCATCTCTCGGACCCCAGCCAGGGAGCCGTGTATGACCAACACAAGCCAGTCCTTTGCAGCTTTCTTTCATACCACGAGACCATGTCAAACACTGACCACCTCTCCGCTTCTCTCAACCAGTCCCAGAGTCGACAAATAATGCACGACGTGGAATTCTCTGGGACGACATTCGTAGAACATGTCCAAACCACCGAAGTTGGTGTTTCGAGATGGTGAGACCAGTTGCATTATCATCTCTGTGCCCGAACACACGATGTCGAACCTCTGCATTGCTAACACGATGTTGCCACTGGATGTCAGCAATCCTTCGGAGACAACGATGATCGAACACAGAGAGTCGTCTAACGTCCTCAATTCGGAGAGGCCAGGTTTCACAAGGATAGAGCAAAACTGCTCTCACCGACGCGTTGTAGATCCTGTTTTTTACAGCCAGACTAACATCACGAAGGCCCCAAAGGTGGCCCAGATTGGCATAAGCCGCTCTGGCTCTCACTATACACGCATTGATCTCATCACTCACACCCCCACCAGCACTTATGCAGCTACCTAGATACAGAATAAAATGACAATACTTACGGAAAATACTATACTTGCTTCGATTAACAGTCAAACGATATATCTGTGTACTAGTTTGTGAAACACACTTGTCTTATGTAAACTGTTTATAATAACTGATTGTCCGAACGTGTCTTTCTAAGTAAACTGAGTTCGAGTCTATATCTCATTAGTTAGAAACGAAGTCTTTAAATTAACAAGTATATAATTCAAAATTCTGATTCATATTTGAAATGAAACGATAAGAATTCAGAAGTAAAATCTTTATTCAGAACATTTATAATCTGTTATTCATGTACTTTCGAGAGTAGAACAAACAATGAACATGAGTGAATCCAATTTATACAAATAAAGTTTCTCTAGTAACTTCAAGTATATTAATAATTCTAAGTAACTGTTTTTATTAACATGTATACAGTTGTGGGGAAAGTAATGAATTCATTATTTCTTGTTGTTTCTGGGACAGTCGACACAAATTATTAAATGTAAGTGGTATTTTTGTTAAATATTAATTCTTCTGTCCCACGGTAAGTGTTATCTTCAGATAATCTGTTGCACAGTGAAAGATGAGGTCCCTGGGGGGGATGTAGTCTTTATATTCGTTGTCGATTAATGTATTATCGGTACAAATCCGTTTCTCTTAATTCTCTCAGTTAAATGATTGTTATTCTTGTTTTAAGTTTGTAATCGAAATCAATATGGATGATAACTCCAAACATCTCTTACGTATTTGCATAACTTCATTAAACCAAAAAAACAAAAACAAAAAAAAACAAAACCAAAAACAATTAAACCAAAAAAACAATTTCCATTTCTCTCTGGTTTTTATTGGTTATTTAGTTGATTTTAGTTTGTGATGGGAAAAGGTTTAACCAATTTATCACGTTTTGATCGTTTGTTCACATATATGAACGTAAATCACCAAACAGTACACAAATAATACTTTACAACTTATGAGTGGTACATGTTACGTTTATCATTCTTTAGAATCTTATTTTCAGTAGGATCAAAATGTAAAATAATGGTACAACATTGAGTTCCTGGAAAAAAGAATTGTTTAAGAAATCAAACGGTGACTCAACTCTACCAGATGCATCATGCACATTTGGTGACATCTATAAGAGGATTGAAACCATTTGTTAATAAAGGGGCAGTCATTATGTAACATTTAGAAAAAGTTCGTTGATAATAAAATATCCACCTCTTTATGTAGAATCGTCGTTATTATTCAGTATGACTAATATCTCATCGTTTATCATAAGTGAAAAACAAGATTATATCTGGAATTTTAGTCAAAGAATGTGATACAGGTTGATGTAGAGTCAAGGTGATAATGCCAGTAACAATTATATAATACCACATGATCTTGCGTTCACTAATATTCTGAATGTATGATTTGTAGAAATGGGATGTGGTATAGCTTAGAACCTATGCTGGTTGTACGAATGCAACTGTTTACTATCCTATTCGCGTTTTAATCATTGAACGGCCAAATACAGTGAAAAGTATAGAATTAACTAAACGTGTCATTCATATGACTTGTATTCTCAGCTTGTTACTTGTGCTAGTATAGTCTGTCATTCATACATACTAGTTTGTCGGACAAGTGTGTTTGAGAACACGCAAATAACTAGGTTCTTGTATGTAACATTTGAAGTGAAAAATGTATTTTGGACAGGACCACTTTGAGGTAAAAATCATTTAGTTGAACTATTTAACGATGGGGAGACATGTTCCAGCAACAGCGCTCAGTAAACAAAATGATTTAGATAGCTCTTACCTATCTTAAAGAATAGATACAATCGAGACACATGCCCTTTATTCAAGGGGAGGTTAAAACAGAGTATTAATTACAAACTTTTTTGTTTTAACTATTTTTATTACAAAATATTCAATTATGCAACACTAGGTGTCACTTATGTTGTGTTCACTTTATAGGCAAAACAAAACTAATACTTATTAAAAACCCCTTTCTCCTTTTTCTTCCGTTATAAACAGACCCCATTTGGGACTAATCATAAACTTAACTTTCCAGAAAGTTGTATGAGAGACTCGAGTTTAGGGAATGTCATGCCTGACTCATAGAAACCATGTTATTAACTGCAGATTAGAGCTTTCAATGTGCTTAAGAGATCTATAACGGAAATCCAGATATCCTGGGCCGTTTATGTATGCTATTTTGGTCACACATCTTTTGGTTAGTGTGATTCATTCTACAAACGTACAGATATCCAGCCCATGACAAATGGTGCAGAAACCTATCAATCTCACACTAAATATGGCTACATTACCGGATTCCCCCAAGAAACTAAGTGTTGCGGAAAAGAAAGCTGATGTTATACTCAGTGATAGCATTCAATAATTTTGTTAAGAACTCATGTGAGGCTTTTTACTCTTATTTATCAAACAAGAAAGAATTACTCAAAGATCTATTAATTCAATTTGTAGTGAGAAATACCCTATGACTAGAGACATGAGTGTAAATGAAACTTATCAGTATAAGTGTTGAGGAGATAGTACAGTAAATTTTCATTATCAGTTGTTTCGTCACATTTAAATGAGATTTTGTCTGAGAATGAGAGAGGTATTAGGTATATAATAAGTCACTGAGAATATTATCTTGTATATTTTGAAAATTGTAAATGAAAATATAAGAAATTAATAAACGGATATATAGATATACATGTGCTTTAAGTTTTGATGACTTTGTTTTCAATGTTAAAATGTACTTAAACCAAGTACGTAACTTGTATCAGAAATACGTTTTCATGTAGGAAAGGGTGTCTTAGTAACCATTTGGCTTATTTCCAGTAGCGCTTTGTTAAGCTCTTCAACGTGGACATGATTTTTCGAGATCTACAAGAATAAAATAAACCACTTCAAATTATGGCAATTATTAATTTAAAAATCAGAGATTTACCAACTATGATAAACAGTAGCTCTCCCCAAAATCATGAAAATTGTTTTCAAATGTCAAAGTTATATTCCACAAGATAATGAGTAAACAATAAAAGAAACAAATGAGATAAAATCTTTTCTTTATTTAGTATCTAAGTAATGTGATCTTTAAATCCGAAGCTTGAGACCTACAGAACATTGGCTTAAATAATACTTTAGAATGGATATGACACTTCTATCTTAAATTGTATCTAGGGAACTTATTGACAAAAATAAAAAATGAGTTTCGGCATAATATCAGGTCTCGAGCAAGCATCCCATCAAATGAAGAACAATAATAAGTATACTTTTGTTATATCCTAATGAGTAGAAAAATTGTATTTCTAACGTTGCGTGACTTAATGTAAGCCACTTCTTCAGAGTAAATAAAGAACATTGACAAGGTGTTAGTTATGACAGATTAGAAGAGGGATGTGGATGGGTTCTAGGTACTTAAATCTTAAAAGGTTTATTCTCTGTTGAACTCAGAGTAAAAAATAAAATCCGTTATTAGCAGTAAACTGGTGCACGAAGAATAGCGTTCACTTCTAGACTAGGTTAGATTGGTATGTGAGCCCCTCTAGTGCCGTGATTTAAATTGGTGACAATGACTAGTGCTTAGTTGATTCTACTATATACTAATAAATTCAAACAAATAAGTTGCGGACTAGAAAAAGCACCTAATGATACAGATGCCCGGACAATGTTTAAACTGAATGGGTTTACAAAAGAGGTGAGTGCAAACAAATAACAGAATAACGACAAACAAGTAGGAATAAAAAGAGAATGGAATAATAATAATAAAGTGGATTAAACGTCAGGGATACGTGTAATTGCTCAATTATATTAATGCATTACGACAGAAATTTCAGGCTACGTGTCCAAAATGATTGACAGCAACATAAACTACCGAATATTAGTAAGTAGTATAGTGTAATACATAAATAATGGTTTAACAAGTGTCATACATTTTTTAACATATCTCGAACCACCGAACATGCGTTAAGGACAACTAGCAAACTCTATCACTATCATACAATTATCAATATAATTTATAACTAGATCACAAACCACTGCATAAACTTTTAACTTCAAAGGATGTGCTGTTGTTTTTAATTGACTGAATAGTCTAACAATTGTCGATTTTGACTGATTTAAGAGCCCATGTGGATAAACACGAACTCTAGTGGGATTGTTGGTTTCCAGCTAACATTGAATTCAAGATAGATTATTCTATACGATGCATACGAAGAATTTAATTTTGCCCGAGCGTCCCAACTCTCATTTCTAAGCAAATTTTACTTAATACCAGTCATATTAATCCAATCAGATTATTAACTATCTATCTATCTGATAAATAAATTCAGTGAGAACTGTATAAAGGATATGCTTCATCATTTAACTACAAAATACATATCTTAAGTTCTCCCATTTAATCAAAATAGTGTCAAAATGGCAATAGACATTGACGGAAGCAGATGGCACTTGGTTCATAAAATTTTGTAAACCAAAGAGGTCGAATCAGATATTAGGGAAAAACTTGAATTGAACTTCATCACTTTATTGAAAAAAGTAAGATTTTCATAAGTTTTATTAATTTTTATTACCGTCTGAAGTCTTTGTTCTTCTAAATTGATTTGTTCAACAATAGAGGAATTTTCTTGGGCAATTTCGGATAATCGGGTTCTCAAATGTTGTCGTTCAGATATAAATGAATCGTTCTCCTTTGTCTTGTTAGCGATATCAGCTTCACGTGTCTAAAATGAGTAAAGCGTGATATAAACTTATCAGGTCTCTCGGAATTTCTTTAAGTACAAAGATAAGCTTAATTTTAAACTGACTATAATAAATTAGATTACTGGAAAATGTTTTTTATATTGAACACGTGGATATAACTATCTTGCTGCTTAATATTCTGGAATCTCCGCGAGTCGCACTTAATCGGTTGGTGATGAGCGTTATTAAATATGGATTGTGTCGCTGGAGTGTTAAGTACTTTAGCAAGATCGTATCTGTACACTGCTAAGTAATGACATGTCTGAAAGTAGAGATATTCGAGTATTTTTATGTCAGTGACAATGTAGGGTATGTAACCAATATTTAAAATGCCAAGAGTCAGAGAGCACATGTCTATCTGAGTTACCTCTGGTACCATTAAAGCGTTGGTCTAAACACAAGAAGTCGAAAGTAAGAGTCCTTAAGTACGATCAGTTCAACACAACTCTTGTGAAACCTGGGCTCTACCGGATGTAACATTTGATGATTATCTATCACGATATTCATCTATTGACTCACAATACGCTGATAATATAATTTCTTTTATTCGATGCATAGTATCCTTGTCTTTTTGAACAACGATGGAAGCGTGTCTGGGATGCGCTTTTCCCATTCAAATACGAAGTGTCACACAGTTGCGCCGGACAGTGGTTACTACTCAATGAGCTAGAACACCGCAAGACCCATATCTAAATGTATTTTAGTTATAGAAATTATCTGCTGTTGTTACACAGTCAGTCAGCTACACATGAGCGCTTAGCTTTCTGAAGGTCGGAAAGTTTTCTATAAACTCACTTTTTCTTCACTTGGACTGTAGTTAGTATGAGCGTAGGCAGTGACGACGAAGAGGTATCTCGTGTCTCTATCTTTTAGAGTACTTAGGGTCCCTTTCAGTAGGACAGTGAACAAGTGGCTGTCTGCCGAAACTCAATGTAGAAGAGCCTCTTCTGCTTTCGAACTTAGTTCTACACCGACGCTAGTGAGGATGTAAGAAATGGTAGTCCTTATGTGAACGAAGAATAAATTGTCTTGGTCCTCTATATTCAGTAGGTGAGATCAAGTGAATGACCGACCACATCTGGATCCTGTGTGAGTTTCGGAGACGAAGCATATGAAAACGGCAAGAGCTTTAGGGTTCGAGCTAGTGAAACTTATTATCGGGTTAGACATAAAATTCGGAAATTGAACGTTTTGACATGCAGTTTAGAGAAAGGTTTCAGGAGACTATGAATAACTTTTTGTGGACTCCAACGGTTAGTATTTGTGGAGGGTAGGGAGACAGTTGTTGGTAGAGATAGAAGAAATTTGGAGCGATGAAAGGATTTGAACTTAAACAAGGCAACCTCGAGTGCTATTAGAGATGTGTAGTCAAAATACTATAGTAATAAAAAATTGTTACAATTGAAATCACATACGCACTACTAAAACTGTATTGGTAATCATAAATTTTACTTGGAATAAAGGAGGTAACAAACATGTACAATTCTTTATAATAATCATTGAATCGAAATAATTAATCCCTCATATACCGGTAAATACTCTTATTAAGAGATGGTTACATTGTTGAACTAACAAGGTACAAATGTTTTGAGTTTTGTATTTTAATGGAAAATAATCAGTATAAACTAATCACAGGTTTCATGTAGTAAGATTTTCAATACTGTTTATATTCTAGTGTCCGAAGACACTAACCGGTTAAACTAAGAAGAAATAGACGGAGTGAATTTCGACTATACAACACGACAGTTAAAAGATTGATAATTAAACAACTGTGCCATTTTAGCAAAAACAATATTATAGTCCAGTACTTTGGAGAAAGATAAGCAACATACTTATACAGACACATCAGTTACGGATTACCTTTTTCTTAGTATTCAACAATACTTTTTTTCGTACTAGTTGTGATCGATATTCCACCAAGTGTTGTTTAGCTTCATTTAACGAAATATCCATATTTTTCAAATCTGTAGTTAGAACATCAATTTTACCTTGAGTACTCTAGAATAAAAAGCAGTTGGAAATTGTGCTTAAAAATACAGTACAACAATTATCAAAAATCTTATTAGAGACAAAACAATGTTAGGGTAAAAATAACATTCAGTATTAAAATCTCAAACCATTGTTGAATTCATAATAAGGTGAATGAGATGAAAATAATGTATTTGTATTCATTTCCTAATTGATATCGGAAATTATTAATAAATTTACGCATTTGTGGTAAATGACCATGAAGATAAAATAATGGGTTGGAAAATTATTTAAATTTAGTCGCTTCATATAAACACTAGTATGGTACTTATAACCTTATCATCACTGTGTAAATTACGATTTATAATGTGACATGAAATAGAAAAACTGTCAATATTTACTCATAATCCCGTTATACTACACTACGTGACATTGTACCTATTGACTAATAAGAAAATGACACCAGAAACAAGGTAAATAACATGATAACCATTATCAGAAGTTACAGCTTGTGCTAAAAAAATTTCTCAAAAATTTGAGTATCTCATTTTATCAGAACGCTTACTAGGTTCATAAACACATGTGACTAAATAGTTAGTCCGGAAACAAAAGAGACGTTTTAAATGATTCAGTGAAATCATAGTAAATATTACTGAGTTCTTAATATGTGGATATTTGGGAATTGGGTTACATTTGAGCATAGATAAACATTTTCTTTACTTGGACCATTTTACTTATGATCCGACAAAGAGAAATAAAGTCAAATAAGTTTTATGGAGTTAAAAATATTTTGTAACCAACTACTGATTACATGTTCTGACTTATTGCATCGATCGAATTACGCAAAATTTGGAGTATAATCTTCTCTACAATATAAAGGCTTTAAATGTAAAAAAGACAATCAATACCTTTCTTTTAATAAAACCTTACCTTCTCTTGTTTTTCACATGATTCTAGTTTATCCATCACCACATAGCCCTGATCCATTGCTGGTCTCAATTCTGACTCCAGTAAACACTCATAGCTTTGAAATGTTATATTACGATCCACAATGTGATTAAAGGCTTCAAATAATCTATGCATATCTGATTCGATTGAGTCAAGTTGACACTTTACTCTTGAAATCGATTCAGGTAACATTTCACAATTTTCAAGTTGATGGGATCTAGCATTTTCATATTCTTCGAGTAAAGTTTGAAGTCGTTCGCGAGAAGACTCTATCTAAAGTGATGTAGAATCGATAACTAGTAATTATGATATCAGTGTCATTACCAAGGTTTGATTTGATAATTTTAAAGAAATTGAGGATTAGGTTGATTATGATAAAAACAGTGATATTTTTATTGAGTAGATAATTTTCGAGGTTTCGCGGCTTAGCGTAAGTTGCTTTGCCAGAGGATAAATAAATAACCAAATGAAAATAGTATAAAGGAATAGCGCAAAAATATCTCATGCCATCAAAATAAGTTTGGACAAGTCAATGTTATGTTATGCTGGTGATTGGCCTTTCTCAGTTGTACAGATTTTGGAAGGAAATGAATTAGTAATGACGGTTTTTTTTTACTTCGGAGAGTGACTAGACGGTCGACAGTATGGCTTAGACCTTAAACTTCATACTTGCTGCTTCTAATTTAACTGTTATCCAGCTTACCTACTTCGGATGATAGGACCCTGAGAAGTCAGTAAGTCAATCGCAACGCAGAACTTGGTGTACATGAGACTTTTGAGTAAAACAGTAGGTTAAACCACCACGTTAAGGTAGGAGCTACGGTTGTACAGAATGGAAATAACCCAAACATAACCTAGTATTGATACTATTCAACAAATTGTGATAGGTATCTCTTTTATTCATTTTAAACCTTAATTAATGTTTAGATCTCTGCTTCGCTCTCAAGCTTAGTAAATTCCTCTTCAGCTGTGATACAAAGTGTGGAAAAGCGGATGATACACATGTCACACACACGTCAATGATGACATACTTATTGGACAAACGGGTGAGACGTAAATAAGTACCAACAAACATAAACTTATAAGAAAACTCTTGAAGTCATTTTAAGTTGGCACAAAGATTCCATATCTTCCTAAAATACTAAGCCCCCAAATGCCCTGGTACGGCCGAGGGTGGTGCACATGGGCTCCAGTATTCTGAGGGGACAAATGGCGTATGAACCAATCGTTGGTCACCGGCTACCATGGGACCGCATCTCCTAACGATGCTCCACTGTCTTGTGGATCAGACCTTCAGGTCGAAGGCTCTGGGTGTGGCCCCCTAAGAAAACCACCTGCTTCAGTTTGGGCACCCGGACAGTACCACAGCCCTCACACATATCAAATGAGATCTATGTGGCGCATATCTATTTGGTGCCTCCTTACACCAATATCTGTGTTAAAATAAATAAATAAATAAAATACTAAGATTACTTTCTAAAACTGAGGAATATATTCGTGTCAACTGTAAGAGTCGGGCTAAAATAGCAATAATATGAACAATAAATGAAGGTGGATATTTCTTAGATTCGTAAATCGACAAGGAAATTGAATTTTGCAGTGACTATTTACAAAGTGCATTGCTGTTATCCTTGAGACAAACCATAATGAGTCATACAGTTGGATTTGATGACCATCTTGATAACTTGAAGGTGGATCTTTTTAAACGAAGTTGACAACCAAAAAACCTGGCATAGTAGTGTTTGTAGGTATCATTACCAAGGGTTGACTTGATGTCAAACAAATTGAGCGTTATGTAGACTGCTGACGATAAATGTAATGATATATTAGCAATATTCAAATGAATGTTTGTTTTCTGCTCATTGATATACCACGAATATACTGCTACTTTTGTTATTAACCTACTATATGCTAACTGCTGAAGTATAAATTCCTAAATATGCTTTGATGAGAACCTACCTGTTCTTTCTTCTGTTCAGTTGAAGAAACTAGGGACAATAATAAATTTTCTGCAGATGACATTTTCTTATTCTTTTCATTGAAACGATGCTTAATGTCGTACACTTCCTTTTCAAGGTCTTTAACAATGTTACGGCGTTTGGATTCAGCCTCTCGAAGTGTGTGTAATTCATGTTCTCGGGATTCCACCAGACTTAAGAGCTTTGCATAGTTGCTTTTTCTTTCTCTTGCTTCGTCAACCATCTTGAAAAGGAAATACGTGTGAAGATCTCAATTACCTCTAGAATCTCAGTGTCAGCACATTCAAACCAAGAGACTAAGCATGAAAGAAAATGTATCCATTTTCGCCGGTCTCTTTTATCTCGGGAAAAGTTACTCAAAGTGAAATTTCCAGCATATCCCAGGTTAGTGGCGGTCATCATGAATAATTTCAGAAAGTAAACTTTCGTGAAGTTTGACGATGGTATATCATAAATAGTACAAAGAAGCTGCCATAGTACTTCATCCATATACTCACCTTTATATATCACATTTAATCATATATATTTGAATTACCTTTATCAAACAACATATTTGGATCAACAGTTCTTTTTATAATTGATGAAATTGATCTAGCGATTTCCATATGATTTCTGTAATAGAAAGTTTACATAAATTAGTATGTAGTGTGAAATCTAAAAGTTGGCGTAGAGTTGTCTCAGGATTACAGGTTGTCATATTTTAAAATCCTCAAGATGTCTGGTACCACTTAAATTTTTGTGAGTGACCGCACGACAATAACCAGTCAAAGAAGTGGGTTTTTCACGAAATGCAAAGATTTAAAAAAGAACTGGGACTAACGACTCGCACATTCGATTCAGTGAACATGGATCTTTGCAACTAACGAATGACATCTCTCCAAGGTGAAACAAAACGTGGAGCACTTCAGATAGCTTCAGGAAGTCCCTCTCAAATACTTTTGATGGTGTTATAGATATCATACCACATGGCAGGATATCGACAACACTAGGAACTGATAATATCACCCAATCTTCCTGTTTTGAGGTAAATTATAGGTTTTGGGAAAACTGCGATAGAAAACCTTAGGAAAATGGCAAAAAACCACAAAATCTCCCGAACGTTTTGGGGAAAACTCTAAAATTCGCCCAGTGTCCCGAAATAGGTAGACTAGGCACCAATCCTTATTCTAGTTTACTACAGTTAGCCGAAACTTCAAACTAAAGTTAACTGGGCTTTTGGCCTTCCACAAGTTTGATGTTATCCGTAAGTTACGAGCTATGATAGGGGAATAAAGATTAACTCGTGAGAGCATAGAACAAAAAGTGAGTCGACGACTCGAGTCTTCCATCAGTATGTACATATAGTGTGCTTGCAAGAGGTAATAAAAGAGACTGACAACAATTAGTAGTAACACAACTGTAAGATTGGTGGTGTAAGATAACCAGAGATGATATGGTAGAAAGGTTAAGAAGACTCTTCGTGATGAGCGCGAGGTGAGGAGTTTTTAACCTGTGGTTTATTAAAACACGCAACGTCGAAATTCCTAAAATCTCTGTATAGTGGGTAAATAATTTTGAATTTGATACGAGTACTATTAGGAAAAAAATCAGTGTTTTATCCTTTCGGTGACAGATATATATGTGGTTAAGCAAATTGGTGACAGAAATCAGTCTTCAGTAATAAGGAATAGAAGGTCTATCGACCTTGCGGTTTGTAATACTTTGGAGGTCCAATCTCGTTCTGAATATCTCAACAAAAGGTGCTGATATCACGTGTTACGTTAGAGAATTCCAGTTTTTCACTAATCGGCGCGGGAAACGAAACTCCAGACGTAAATGATTTGATCCCGGCTTTTGAACTTTCTTCGAATGTCCTGTCAAGTGATCAGTCCTGTACGGAAGTAAAAGGTAAAACATGTTAATACCAAGGTCATCGTTTAGTATACGATAAGCCAATACTAGACCACACCGTATTCTACGGTAAGATAACGGAAATTAGTGTCTCAGTCTGTCTTCGTAAGATAGGCCAGAGAAACCTCGTATCATCTTAGCATCACCTCGTTGAACTCTTTCCAGCATTTCTGCTTCATACTTGAAACAAGGACTCGCTGCTTGAATCCCATATTCTTAATGTGGTCGCACGTAAATCGGGTATAATAATCTAAACATTTCAGCATCTAAATACTGGAAAGACATACGAATAGACCATATTAGCCTATAGCCTTTCGCAACAGCAGCCTTACAGTGACTGGTGGTTTTGAGATCACTGCTTAATATGACTCTTAAATCTTTATAGTTTCTTACTTTGGGTAGCACTACTCCACCTATTTTGTAGTGATACGATTCATCATGGTTATTTATTTGCATCACTACACTCTTATTAGGATTTACTTCTAGTGACCACCTGTCCAACCATGCCACCAATGGGCTAAGATCATTCTGTAATACTATCCTATCCGACATACTGTGTATGGGTCTCCAAATCTTTATGTCATCAGCGAAGAGTAGGACGGATGATTTCGCTATAGTTGGTAATTCGTTTACATAAAGTAGAAGGAGAAGAGGACCTAGAATTGTACCTTGAAGAATCCCACTTTTTACAGGTATCCACGAGGAGAGAGCCCCATTTACCCTTACCCTTTGTCTTCTGTCATGTAGAAAGTTACTTATCCAATCTACGACTGTACAATGGATTCCAGAACGTTGCAGTTTGGATTTAAGACCAGAATAGGAGACCTTATAGAAGGCCTTACTCAGATTTATGAAGATCACATCTACAGGAATATTCTGATCTTTTGCAGCAGCCCGATCTTCCCTTGCAATGAGATTTGTCAAGTATGATAGGCCTCTCCGAAAACCATGTTGTTCCCTGGAGAAAAGATTATGCCCTTCAACATAGTTTATAACAGATATCCGGATGATTTTTTTCCATCAGTTTTACAACTGCACTGGTTAAGCTAACGGGCCTATAGTTACTAACTAAATCCCTACTCCCAGCCTTATACACCGAACTTATTACAGCGTTTTCCAGTCTCTGGGCAGTCTGGAATGCCTTAGAGACATGCCAAACAGGATCGTTAATGGTTCAGCAATTACATCTGATATGGCTTTCATAATCCTAGGATGAATATCATCAGGACCACTGGACTTATCAGGTTTGAGATGCTGAAGTAGCCTTAAACAGTACCTTTCTCAATGACTACAGGGTCCATCAGCGAGCCGCCACGATCACAATGAATCGTTTGTCGTTCCTCATTACCGATAGAAAGCACTTTACTGAAATATCCCGATAAAGCTTCAGCTTTTTCGGCATCATTTTCTGCCAAGACTAGCGGATTTTCTTATACCAAAAGTGATGGAATTCCGTCGCTTCTCTGAGTTCGCCTTTTTAAATACGAGAATAACCGTTTCGGACTATATATAGAATCCCTAACCAATTGTTTTTCATATGATCGTCTAGTCTTACTTATTAACGCTTTACAGGCATTCCTAATCTTACAATAACTGGATCTGTATTGTTCTAAGCCAGTAGAGATGAACATATTTCAGTGATTCTTCTTTTTTCTAAGAAGTTTACTGACTGTTTTCATTATCCATGGTGGACTTTTATTCGGTCTTCGCGGTACCATGTATGGTATGAACGTGGACGTAACTAAAATAAACTTACCTTTAAATACAGACCATGCTTCTTCAACTGATAATCTAGTATCTACAAACTAATCTGTCTTAGCAGCGCATTCCTGAATGGCTGATATGTTAGCTTTCCATACATTGGGGGGGGTAACCTGATCGTATAACATGTCCCCAGTTCTAAACATGAATGACAAAACATGGTGATCGCTGTTCACTAACGGTGGAAGAAGATTTAGGTCGACAATACCCTCAGTATCATGAGTGATTACCAAGTCCAACAGAGAAGAACTTTAGTTATCACCAAGACATGTGGGTTTGGATACATGCTGCACTAGTGCATGCTCCATTATTGTTACCAGGAACCTACTATCAAAGGAGTTTATAGATCATTCCGTGGTCATCTCAGTCCAACTAATATCAAGTGCATTAAAGTCTCTTATTATCATCGGAACAACTGTCAATCACATCATCGTCTTCGACTTTAGATAAGATATAAAAGTTTGCCAGTTGACCACCAAAACTACTTAGTTCTAACTTCAGGAGCCCAAGACACGCTAAGCGATGACAGGGTCACGTCCAACTTTGGATATTCAGACGTTTTTGAATTTTCTGAAGACTCATCTCCTGGAGTCTGCTATCACAATCGGAGACAAAAGATGCTTCACACTCATGATCTCTTTCAGCCTTAAGGATCTATGCTCCCTTTGAAGTCATAGCAATTATTTCTCTTGTTTCTCCTTAAACTCCCTAATCTATAGAGTTTGTCTTTCCCGCAGATGTCTTTCTTTCGACTTAGGCAAGGAGATCCTAGTGTTAATCTTACTATTTCGATTATTTAAGCTAACATTATAGCCATGAAATGCAAACGCATCAGAAGGATTACCATATACCTGGAGGTGCATTTATTTTCATTCCTACTTCGTCCAACACTGAGAGACCTTTTGTTGTGCTTAACAGGCATTCCGATATTTGTCAGCTGGTGATTACTGCATGTTTCAGATCTGTTACGACTGAAATGGAATATTTGGTTTCAATGCGAAACTAACGAACATAAATTTATTCGATTAGGCCAGACTATGTTCTTCTGTATGTTTTTGAGTTACTCGTGTCAAATTATATCAAAACACAAACTCTGTGTTGGTCTTTAACAGTTTTATTTTAATAAAAGGAATAAATTATGTTAAAATTATAAAATATCTCAAACGGTACATCTGTAGAATTATGGTTTACTATGATATTAGTACTACTCTAATAATAGACCTAATCCTAACTTTGTAGATTTGTCATGATATAACTGCCTAATCTATAAGATCTTACGTGGAAGTCACACCATCGACTACACCAACTCACTGTATCGTATCAATTACCAATACATGATGTAAAACAAGGTTAGGCTAGAGAAGGAACAATATATTTAATATGAATAGAAGACATAAGGTAACATTCAGCAGAGACCACGCCTGCATGGCCGAGCCATGCCATTCGACCAACTCCAGTCGATTCAACTCATTGTTCGCGCCTTCCCGATTGTTAGGTATTTCTCCGCGTTAAATGTTGAATATCTATTTTCTGAGTAGTCTTGTGTTCACAGTTTTGTGGATTGTATGACTATTGTCCAATGCCACTACACTACTCTCCCACAAGAATCAACGTGATGTTGGTTCGATACCAAATTGGATGGGATCGTCGCACGCCGGAGGTTACCAAGGATAATAAAAATCCTCCGGGTATTGGTAAGCTGGAAGATAAATCAAAAGAAAGCGGCAGTATCTGGTCGGAAAATACATGTAATAGTTTTAAAATATCTGCCATCATGCTTAAAACGCTTGAAATGAAAATTTGGGTGAAGATTATTTGAACTATAAAGAATGGCATAACAATAACAATGATAATAAAACGATGCGTGCTAATAGCCTTTGGTTATTAACTTAACGTATAGGTAGTATTTTGTGTTTAGAAGTATTGAAGTAATGAATGTTGTGGAAATGTTAATATTGGTATTAGTTTTGGTTTAAATTATGAAATCAAATAACGATTATGCCGGTAAGTTGTCCATATGAGTTGAATTCCAAATGCATCTGTATTACTTACAAACAACACTAGTGATAATGATAAGTCAATTTGTTGATCGATTTCGTTAATAGTTTCATTAATTTTATCAGTCATATTATGTGATTGTCAAGTCATGACAATGCTTTATGACGATATCCTGAAACTATTATGTTTAACTAGTAATAGTGTTGATTGAGGATAAGTCAGTGGAAAAATTGGTATTGTTGTTTTAGGTGACTCGAAATTATCAGAAATTTATAACGTTAAAGAATCCGAGACGCCCAATTATATTATAAATTTTAATTCAGAAGTATTCGTTTAGTGTTAGTTCTAATAGGCTACGGAGTTTTGATTTTAAACTTTGTTTAGCCAAAAGCTACCTGAGGATTTGGTTATTTTACTAGTGCAGTTGAAAGTACCTAAATTTGTAATCTGATTATCTAAACTATGTCCGCATTTTAGGCTGCTAATGTGATAAACCAATCCATAAACCCAAATAGGTAAAGTAACAACGACTATGATGGGTTTATTGATAAATGTTAAAGGCGATTCAGATGATTTCTAAATTTAGAAGACATGAAGATATAGTTTGACGTATGTACGGGCCAGGTTAACATGCAGGTTGTTGACGTATATGACAATTTAAAAATAATGAACATGACCAGAAAATAATTTTAAAGTTAAGACTGCTTGTGAAACTTCAGGCAGGAATATGATGCGTTATAAACCTTCCATAAAAAGTTACTGCATTTAGCCTAGGGACACTTACAAATATATAGCAAAAGCAACTAGAAAACATATACATGTTAAGTACGAAAAATCATTAAGTAAAATAGTTGAACTCGCCTGGGTTATTTTTGAAAATTAGATTATTCAGTGGACATATATAACGCCATTCGTGAGTAATGATCCAAAAGCATCCAGAATAAAACATGCAGTATGGCAATCACTTCCAGGGTGCTTGATGCTGTTGACGTTTTTGGGACTCGCTCTGATCAGAACAACTGAATGAATCCAGATAATTGTGTGTGCCATTGAATGAGCCATCTAAAATGAACTTATGATTGCAGAAAACTTATAGCTGAAACTCACCGTATGTTTTTAGAGAAGTGTCATCCTTGTTGTTTGGCAATGGAACTCGAGAATTTGAAATTAGGCAGGCAGTGGTCGGAAGAAAAGATATTACAGGATAGTGCATAGTTTAAAACAGGATGAGGTGATAAGATAAGGAACGCTGAATATTAGATCCAGGTAACTATTTAGTCCTTGCTGCATTGTTAGTCAATGTATATTTGCGTTATTTACAGGTCATATTTGCTAGAGCTTGATGCTTAAACAAGTCTATGTTGCTGAAGCATGTAAATGCTATTAAAGCTTGTTAACGAACCATCAAAGCTAATTAGTTGATATAGATGATCAACTTTTATTATCGATTGAGCTAGTAAGTTATGTGAACTAATAGATATAACATTACGATAATATATGTGACCATTAATCAAAGGACTATTAGAATACTGGGTTTACAAAAATAAAAACCTATTGAGAAGGTTAAGGTGGAAATAAGGATTAACAATAACAGGTTGCGTTTCTTTAGTTGGGCTCACCAATGTAGAATTATGGTTTACTATGATATTAGTACTACTCTAATAATAGACCTAATCCTAAATTTGTAGATTTGTCATGATATAACTGCCTAATCTATAAGATCTTACGTGGAAGTCACACCATCGACTACACCAACTCACTGTATCGTATCAACTACCAATACATGATGTAGAACAAGGTTAGGCTAGAGAAAGAACAATATATTTAATATGAATAGAAGACATAAGGTAACATTCAGCAGAGACCACGCCCGCATGGCCGAGCCATGCCATTCGACCAACTCCAGTCGATTCAACTCATTGTTCGCGCCTTCCCGATTGTTAGGTATTTCTCCGCGTTAAATGTTGAATATCTATTTTCTGAGTAGTCTTGTGTTCACAGCTTTGTGGATTGTATGGCTATTGTCCAATGCCACTACACATCTTGCTCTTTTCCTAACGCAAACTAACTTGTAAACAACGAAAGGAATGGTTAATAAACAAAATGTTCCCAATAAGATGGGATCAGATATCTACCTGAAACAATCCGGGCAATCTTTCCAAGCAGACAGTTACAAGTTAACATTCATGCACTGAATAACGCCGTGACCCTGAGTTTAGTTAAACACGACCTTATCGTCAGTGGTTCAACAACATGCAACGATAAATTGAGTAATACATGATACATCTTTACCCAGATCACATAACAAAAGCCACAACAAGGAAGACTGAAAAACACTGTAGTTAACAAGAGACCTGAATAAGGGTGAAATTGAAAGGCAGGGAGAAACAAATAAATGAAAATATCGTCCAATTAAGTGCTGTGGGGTGATTTTAGTGTTTTATTTCAATTACTACTGCGAGGAATCGCGCACGTGGGTTTGTCACTCCGTGCTCATGGAAGCCAGCTTCTGGAACTAGACTTCTATATTGTCGGGCCAGAATGGTATGAGCTGAAAGGTGGGAGGCGAAGGAGGCTTAATCTTAAGTAACCTAGGTGTTTTCCCGTCGTGATGAAGACATAATACCCCAATGGGTGAGAAGCAAATCCGAAAATTTGGAAGCAATATCACATTATGTAAAAATAAAATTAAAAAATCATATATGATGTTCCAACGAGTAACAGACACATAGGTCACACATTGGTGTACCAGATCGCGTCGAGCTCACCGCCAAAGATGCCACAAGTATTCGGAGTCTAACAACGCCTTTACACGTAGCACCTTTATAATTGGAGTGTGCCAACACAGTCAAGAGAGAAATGAAGAGGTTCGAAGATATATTTGAAAGGCTGTCGATATATCGGGAAACTTTCAACCTAAGTTGGCTACCGGTTGTAAGGGTGCGTAGTACGGCGTACCAACTCATGATCTGTCGCGGTCACACCTCTAGTTAGACGTGTCTATCAAAGCTAATGAGGTTAGCATCAAATGTCGAAGACTTACGAAACTATTTATTTTGGGGATAGAAGACTGCTTAAGCCTACAAAATTCGGAACACACCTGGTGTCAAAGATTATTTTTAAGGCTTTAAAGCCTTTTTTCAGGAAGAATGAGTAGTTTGTAGCAGATTTGGGGTATTTTTACGTAAGTATCACAGCATCTACCTCAGTTTGGGGTTTCCTTTTTGCTTCATCAGAAGCATCTCCCAGATAGAGTTCTTCAGGTGGTTTGGGAGAGTTTCAGAACACTCACGGAGTGTCTAACTGAGAGATTGAGGTACGCAGCTTATCTAGATTAACTAAGGGTTTACATAATTGGAGTTCTGGCACTCTTTGGTATTCAATTTGAAGACGATTCTAATCCCTCAGCTCAGTTTCATTTTGGGAAGGACAGGAGGCCTGATGGCCTGTGTTAGTCCTGGCAATGGTGGTCCCTCAGTTGATCCAACTTTCTTCTGAAAGAATCGACGGATGGAGCCTCAACCACGTGCTGAGTTAATGAATTCCACTCGTTGATGATTCGATGGGAAAGTCGATAGTCAGCCGACAAGTAATTTGTTTTTGGCTTGTAAACTTTTTCGCAGTGTCCTCGTAAATTCTCTATTTTGGAAGACAAGAAGAATGAGGGGATATCAGGTGCAAATTTGGCACTAAGCAATTTGAAAACTGTAATCAAGTCGCCTCTAGTTCTGAGATATGACAACGGGAAAAGGTTCAGCTTGGCCAGTCGAGCTTCATACGGAAGCTTCGCTATTCCGGGAATCAGCTCAGTTGCCGTCCTCTGAACCTTTTCCAGAAGTTCACTGTCCTTTTTTAAGCAGGGGCTGGCCGCTTGTATGCAGTACTCAAGTTTGGGACGTACGAACACTGTATACAAAGTGAAAAACGTTTAGCGTCGACATGACTAAAAGCCCTACGTATTGACCATAACGTTCTAAAACCTTTGGCGGCTATTGCACGGCAGTGTGCAGTAGTCTTTAAGTCTTGGCTAACGATGACTCCTAAGTCATTATATGTCTGGTTGACAGGTAACTCAGTGTTATTCATCGAGTTGTTTTTGAGACGAGAAAAGTATCACTTGAATTTGTAGTGACAGTTTCAGTATAAAAATTCATTGTGTCAACTTCTTAAGCTTATCCTCAATTTGTGATCCTACTTTCAATTGTACCACTCTCAAAAAGAGTTGGGCGCTTGATTCACAAATAGCTACCCAACCTAACCGTCGTTTGCATCTATGGCAGATACGTCGGTTGATCCCGTTGCTAATCCATTACCACCAACTGTCTTACTAGCTGATACCGTCATTTTCAGCAAATATGTGCATAAAATCGTATGCACTCTCTTAGAAGAGACTAACGATGGTTCGTTAGTGTTAGAGTCAACTTTGAATGATGCGAGTTCTCAAGAGCTAATCAAAAAGTTCATTTCTGATGCTCAAGTCCATTCACTTGTTGTTCAGAAACTTTCCACCAGGGGTAATAATGATGGTTTCAGTTTTATACTTTAGACGATGATGACGAGTCAACAGACTGTTGTGTTTCTTACACCATCCTTCCCGAAGTTAGATTTACAAATAACAAAGTCCAAAGGTAATGATAATTCCCCAAATAATTATTTTCAGTATCGTATTCATCAAACGGGGAGGGGTTTTAGAAGCCGATAAGAGCTTTAGCTCTCAGTTGAGATTCCTGAACTTTTCGGATGGCTCTCCATATGAAACGTTGCATTCGACTATCAGCAATGCGATAAGTCCCTTCTACAAATCGTACATTCGGGAATCTGGGAGGGCTGATAGGTAGATGAACGATATCACTTATAGTTTTCTAGGGATGGAGACAAAATGGCTCCAAGCGTGGAAAAAACAATGACGGATTTGGAGATGGGTCTCCTACACCTACAACAAAACATTGATATACCTGAAATAACTTTATCAGTTCATCCTTTAGTCGCACAGGTGATCAAGCAGCGCGCAGAGGAGGGGAAACGAGCAAAGACGTCAGATTTCGAAGATAAGCTTGATGATGCACAGTTTCTGAATGCTCTTCAATCTGGAGTGAACAGATGGATTAAAGAAATTCAAAAGGTTTTTAGTTGCTTGCTTACTTACTGCTAAAATCATTCAGGTCACAAAGCTTGACCGTGATCCTTCATCTGGGACTGCATTACAAGAAATTACGTTTTGGCTTAATTTGGAACGTAGCTTATTTCGTATACAGGAAAAAAGAGAGTCCTTGGAGGTTACGTTAACTTTGGATATTCTGAAACACGCTAAAAGATTTCACGCCTTAGTCAGTTTTGATACAGACACAGGTAACTTTTTCTACATAATTCATCGGTATTTTAAGGGTTGCAAAGAGCTTTAGGGACTGTGAATGACTACAACCCTTTGATGAAGGATTTCCCTCTGAATGATCTTTTGTCAGCTACTGAACTAGATAAAATCCGTCTAGCTGTACAATCAATTTTTACTCATTTACGCAAAATTCGTAATACGAAATATCCTTTACAAAGAGCTTTACGTCTAATCGAAGCTATTTCCAGAGATCTCACTTCACAACTGTTGAAGGTACGTTGCGTTCATTGAAGTATTTTCTTTACTTTTGCGGCTGACTGTACACGTTATTTATCAGAACATATATATTAACGGATAATTCCGATTTAGTTTCTTAACATAAATAAAAGTACTTTGCTGTGTATTGGATATCGGAATTGCACAAGTTGACCACTAAACCATTTCATACATATTTTTATATCCCTACGTTTTTTCAGTGTTTTAAATTATTTGAAAGTAGTGTTAATTTGCTTGGAAACAATTGGTAGTCAGACAACTTGCGAAATTTTCAAGCTTATTCCGGTTCTAAAACAAGCTTTAGTTATAAAGTATGTAACTACTCAGTCATCAGATAATGACTGAAATAATGGAAAATACAGTATTTCGTGTGTCCGTTTTTCATAGAACCACGAACAAAGGTTTGTTTATGTTGTGTCTCAGTGAGTAGTAAGTTCTGTTTGATTGCATATCTTATTTTAAAGGAAAGTTTGTGTTCTAAACTTCGGTAATTTTCACGCTAGATGCATCTAAACATTTTGCGTCTTGGTTTGTAGAATACTTTGGGGATGCCACGCAATATATTCAAGTGCTGTGTGAGTTGTAGAACTGTAGAATAAACTTATGTCTGGGTCTGTAACGTCGCAATTTTTGACTTCGTTTAGGTTTTAGGTACACGCCGCCTCATGCATATGCCTTTTGAAGAGTTTGAAAGAGTAATGGCTGCTTGTTTTGAAGTCTTTTCAACATGGGATGATGAGTATGACCGACTTCAAAGCTTAATGCGAGACATAATTAAGAAAAAGCGAGATGAACAACTACGAATGATATGGCGAAGTAATCCAGCCCACCGTCGACTACAGCTGCGTCTGGATCAAATGAGAAAGTAAGTGTTCATGCCGGTTTCCTTTGATCAATCTAATCTTGTCACTACGTTTCTCGTTAACTATATGATAGATTGTCCTCTGTGCGGTTAAGATACTATCAGTTTTCATGAGCAAAACAGACAGTTTCGTCGGGTCTTTGAGCCAAAGGTTTAGTTGGGTATATAATGAGGTGGTGCAAAAATAATATTTGTAGTAGCTGTCAACAAATACAGTTTTGCACACTATTTTTTACTTCAGGGTCCTGGATTCTATGTCTACCACTTTCTCGGGTTATAAGTTTTCCGACTCTCCTTGTAAAAAACCTTCCTTAGAAGTTCAATACCTGCTCATTCTCTGTTTTGAGGAAAAATCTTGACCACTCAAAAGCAAACTTAACTTTTCTAGCAAAAGCTATAATTGCATTGTCCTTTGTACGTATTTTGTCACAGATCCTTGTTTATTATTGCCTTAGTAGTGTAAAATAATCACAAATAAATGCAATTATGAAAGACGTAGGATCTTATGTAGTGCACCGTCGACTTAATTTACCGTTCTTCACACTAGTACGTGAAAAGATTAATAATATGAAAAGTTAATGGATTACAATAATTACACCAATAGTAGTATGGATCTCGTCTTAGGAATATAGTTCAGAAACTAAGTGGAATCGGTCAGCATAAAGTAGTGCTGAGCTGAAGATTCAGATCTGAACGTCTCCATATTTTGAACGGCGTCTCAAAAACTAACCAAAGATGTAGTCCTCCCTTCGTGATATAAGAAGTATAAACAAGCATTTAATCAATTAATGGTATGTTTTGGTCTGATCATCCCTAATATAGTTCCAGCTTACCACACTGTTCAGCATAATGGATCAAAATAATGAATGACTGGGTTTGCTTCTCATTCTCAAATCACCTTGGTTGTTAAGGGTTCACAACCTTATTATCATATACCCGTTCAATGGTTTTTCCATGGATGATCAATACTTCAGATACATGATCACATACTAGCAACATATATGTATTTCTTTTATAGTCCTTGTTTCACAGCTATCAGGTAATACAGATCAGTCTCTTGTTCAGTGTAATCGAGATTTGATAAGCTGATGGACGCATCACCTGTGATACACACTCGAACCATATCGTAAAGTGATTATACCTATCATGTTTATATTTCAATAATTATTAATCAGTTATAAATTAATTATCTCATTGGATTTAAACGTCAGTCAGTCAGTCAGTCAGTAACAACGTAGAACTTCGTACGTACGTACATCAGTTCGAGTTGCCACACCACATTAGCACAGAGATGCAGTGGTCGATTCAAATTCCGTAGTGGTAGAGGTATTAAGAGTATAAGCAGTAATCGGGAAGATTAGTGTTTGGAGATGTTACTTAAAGAGTATAATACAGTGAAATAAATTTGGGAAGAGAAAAAAAAGACAAGGAGGAATTAGGAGATCAAAATTTGGGAGAACACAAAGAGTGGATGCACCTGCGCCATTGCAAACAATTTTGAGCCATGTCATTCAGGGTCTCTAACCATCGGTTGCTATCATCTCGTGGTCCCCAACCAGGTAGTCTACACCTACCGACATGACTCAGTCCACTTGTCAGTGACTTCATGGACTTGTGTCATGTTTTGGTTTGGCCGCCCCTACCTTTCTTCCAACCTACTCCTATACCACTGAACATCGCACGTCGAGGCAGTCGGTCGTTGGGCATACGTTATGGAATATATCTCAGAATACAAACCATTGGCAATCCTGTTATGGTTTTCGCTTACATCCTTTGTAAAAATGAAAGGAATTGTCTTAACTGAATGGATTCTTGGTTACAGTTTTATCTGAACTATGTCATTGTTTTGTTTGTTTAACTATCTTCCCCTTTCTTGTTTTATCTGCGTCACCACTTTATTTGTGGTGCGTAGTCTTTTGCTATCAACTTGTATTAGAATGTATGAGTATTAAATGAAAATTAAAAAAAAACAACTAAAAACTAAAAGTACAATCACAAATTAAGAAAATTTTGGTCAGAAACCTGAAACATTTTTTGTATCTTAGATGTGTTTGGATTTTTGGGTATATTTGCTAGTACAATCTTCAAATGCAGTAGCTTTCATGATGTTAACTAATAAGGGTTTCTTATTTTATGTAATCTAAGGTTCCGACATCAACATGAACAGTTAAGGCAGGTAATAGTTCGCGTCCTACGACCTGCACGTAGTGCTCAAGCAGATAAAACCAAAGATACGCCGGCTGAATCGAATGACCTGTCAAATATCAATGGAGTAGTTGTAAGTGAGAGTGGTGGCAAGATTCTTCCAAAAGCCGTTGGGAAAGAACAACCACTTCTGGATGCATCAGATGCTAATGCTATAGAAGAGGTAAACTTAGCTTATGAGATAGTGAAGGAGATCGATTGTTTGGACGTTACCAAAGAAGGCAGTGAAGTGTGGGAAGCGGCAGTTAAACGGTAAGTTTTAAATAGATTCGGTTTTTATCTAATACTCAGAGAATATATTTATATTTCTCATACCAAATTCTCTTCACTTTTAGGTATGATGAACGGATTGATCGTGTGGAAACTCGAATAGCTGCACGTCTTCGAGATCTTCTAGGCACTGCAAAAAATGCTAATGAAATGTTCAGATATTTTTCACGTTTTAATGCCTTATTTGTACGTCCACATATACGAGGTGCTATACGCGAGTACCAGACACAGCTTATACAGCGCGTTAAAGATGATATCGAGGCTTTACATGCTAAATTCCGAATACAATATACATCTAGTAAGGCTTATCATATGACGAAGCTTCGTGATCTACCACCGGTCGCTGGATCTATAATTTGGGCTCGTCAAATAGAGCGTCAACTCAATGCTTATTTAAGAAGGGTCGAGGATGTTTTGGGTATGTTTAACATCATTTTAATCAAGTTGTAATTTGTCCTCTCTTAACGGCTTTTTGATTCATCAATACGTTTTATTTTGTACTGACAGTGTATTTATTGTGTTGCGTCAATTGCATAGGATTATTGATATTCATGGGCTAATTGTATTTTTAGGTAAAGGATGGGAACATCATCGTGAGGGACAACTTCTTAAAGCCGATGGAGACAGTTTTAAGGCTAAACTAAACACTAATGAACTTTTTGAAGATTGGTCGCGAAAGGTTCAACAGAAACAGATTTCCGTTTCTGGTCGTATCTTCAACATTGAGCCTATACGGGCTAAAGTCGCTACAAAAGAAGGAGAAACACAAACCATAACTGTTCTGAAGTTAAAAGTCAATTTTCAGTTAGAAGTAATAACGCTTGCCAAGGAGGTTAGTCTGTATATTGAGTGATTTTTCTACAAGTATTTAGAAAAAAATCAGATGATTAATCATGTTACAACCGATTATTGTTATGATGTAGTAGTTAAACTAATAGATACTAGATATATTTAGTATATATTACGTGTGTGTATATCCATTGATTTCTGAATAATTTTCCTTGTTGAAATATAATTTTGCATTTTATGCAGACATTTACTGCACTTCGTAATTTCGTATGGTGTTGTTACCGATTCTTATTAACATTTTAAATACATATTTGATCAAGTGCAGATTCAATGAGTATCAATCTCAGGAAACTAAGCAACTAGATGTCTTTAGGAAGTTTCCGTATGGTAAAGTAGCGTGACCTTTTCCAGTTGTGTAAGCATCTCAGATGTTTCATGGAAGTATGTTGATAATGTAATCTGAGATTTCAACAGTTTGAGATACTATGTTCCTAAGTATAATGTATGGAGAAAAAATCCAATCTTAATTTCATATTGGTATAAGGTGATTTTCGTCCGGTTAACCTCAATGCATTTTGCTGTATGAAACTGTTTGGCGTAAATTCTGTTCTTTAAATTTCGGTTTATTTCAGCTGTAATTAGGTGTTTAATTTCCAGTTAATTTTCTTTGTATTAATTATTTTACCATGGTTTTGTTTAGTATTAGTTATTCAGTTGATAAAGCACTGTAATTAAGTCATTGATTTGGTGCATAACTAAATTAACGTGATGTGAATCTTCTTTGTTCTTTCCAAAGAAATGTTAACATAATTAGTCTTTGGAGTAGCTGCGGTTAGAAGAGAGTAGAACTGTTGTATGCTACATCACAGTTGTCGTTAGAGTTATGACTACTGTAGCGCACGGCATCTAAGTTTATACTAACAAACACTATACGTGAGCTCGGGTGCTCGAGAGAATGGACAAGAAGTAAGGGAGGAAATCCGTTGAACTAAACTGAACTCCATGTATGTATACTTATTCATATATATATATATATATATATATATATATATATATATCAGGCCTATCAGCGGCTTGTTTCATCCATTGGTAAAGAAAGCCACTTCTTGACCAATCACATTCGTTTATTGTTTATCAATTGCTGATTGGCTAATTATATCACTTTCCCCTTCTACTTTTCGGACTCGGCTGAAGGAGTTGGAACTAATCCACATCGATAACTAATATCCCTCCGGGTATCAAAAATAAAAGAGGTTTGATAATCAAGAGCATAGGTTGTCGCTATTAATAATTCATTTGAATAATTTTTATGCATACTTTTGATTGTCTAAATTGTTTTCCGTTCAGGTACGAAATATGAAATGGCTTGGCTTTCGAGTACCTCTTGGAATAGTTAATAGAGCTCACCAGACCAATCAGCTTTATCCGTATGCAATATCACTTATTGAAAGTGTGCGAACTTATGAAAGTGCCTGCAGTAAAATAGAAGAAAACCAGCGACAAAATCTTGGTCTTTTATGTGCTGGAATGCGACGTGAAGTTCAGCTCCTGATAGCTGAGGGAATATCTTTAGTTTGGGAATCGTATCGTTTAGGTTTATTTGTTCAACGTTTCGCAGAAACAGTATTACAGTTCCAAGAGAAAGTCGATGATCTTCTAGTTACTACTCGAGAAATAGATAGGGAAGTCAAAGCATTAGAAACCTGTGTTTTTTCAAAGTCGGTTTTCGAGGAGATTCTAGGTAATTTAATGCGGAGTTTTGTGTTTTTGAGTTTTTTCTCAGTGTAGCACCTATTTTAATCTCAGACAACAGTATTGTGCATACTTAAAAATTTACGGAGTAATGTATTAAAGACGTGCTGATTTCTCTGTAATTTCGTTTATCATTTCGAGTGACTTCTGTTATCTAGTCATTATTTCGTCATCGTACAGATGCATTCCAAGTAAGGACCGGAGTCAGACAAGGCTGTTTACTCTCTCCCTTCCTCTTTCTTCTGGTGGTCGACTGGATTATGAAGACCTCTACATCTGAGGGAAAACACGGAATACAATGGACAGCTCAAAATCAATTAAACGATTTGGACTTCGCAGATGACCTAGCCCTCCTATCACATAAACATGAACAAATGCAGATGGAGACAGCCAGTGTAGAAGCAGTCTCTGCATCAGTAGGCCTCAACATACACAAGGGGAAAACCAAGGCCCTCAAATTCAAAACGGAGAACAGCAATCCAATCACTCTTGATGGCGAAACTCTGGGAGATTTAAAATCCTTCACATACCGAGAAGCATCATCGATGAACAAGGAAGATCAGATGCAGACGTAAAGGCGAGGATTGGCAAAGCAAGGGCCACATTCTTACAATTGAAGAACATGTGGAACTCAAAACAACTTTCAACCAACATCAAAGTGAGAATCTTCAATACGAACGTCAAGGCAGTTCTACTGTATGAAGCTAAAACTTGGAGAACTACAACAACCACAATCAAGAAAGTACAAGTATTTACAAATAGTTGTCTACGCAAGATACTCAAACATCCATTGGCCGGATACCATCAGCAATAGCCTTCTGTGGGAGAGAACAAACCAACTTCCAGCTGAAGAAGAAATTAGGAAAAGACGATGGAAATGGATAGGACATACATGACGGAAATCGTCAAACTGCATCACGAGGCAAGCCCTAGCTTGGAATCCTGAAGGGAAGCGAAAAAGAGGAAGGCCAAAGAACACATTGCGTCGGATAATAGAAGCAGATATGAAAACGATGAATTACAACTGGATGGAGCTAGAAAGGATTGCCCAGGACAGGGTTGGATGGAGAATGCTGGTGAGCGGCCTATGCTCCTTCACGAGGAGTAACAGGCGTAAGTAAGTAATTTCATCGTCAATATACAATTCCTACACTTGTGATTGGATTTTCATTTTACAAATTACTAGTCAACCTAACTATAAGCTGTTAGCGGGATATAGATTAGATTAAAGAATGTCCCGTGCAAGATTGTGTCGAGGCACACTAACTGCCCATTTCTTCGTCAATCAGCGCTAGTGGATACTTGGAGAAGACTCTAGAATCTTGTGTTAAAATTGCAAATATAATAACGTTTTTCTTATTGCGATTCCTACTTCCATTCGACCTTGTTCATTCAAAATATAATTACGTTCCTGTTCAACCGTGTTCTGATTTGGGGACTTGTCGAATGAAATGATGTCCAAAGAAATACCAAACAAAAAGAGTAGGTGAGTCGTAATATGAGATCGTAACGGCAAAGAGGAAACAGGAAACACATTCAAGATGCTGATATCAGATAAGCAGTCCAGCCAAATTCTACAACAACGGCAATCACAACTTGGTGCACAAATGCGGTTGTTCGAAACTCTGAAGCAACAGCTTAACACTCACTTCTGGAGTTCACACACTCTTTCGACTACTTTTGCTATAGAGTTGCCAAAAGCATCTCAGAATTAAACTCTGATCTCAAAAATGGAAATATCTTCCTCGCATGGTTCAAGCATTGAAAAATTACATATAGAATATAATTTTGCAAACAAGATGACGCGTGAAAGTTTCTTGCATTGATGCGCTAAGTACATATTGCCGGAATTATTTCAAGAGCTCATTTTTGAGGAAACGGTAATTTGACTCGAAAATATTCTGTGAATCGTCTTCATGGTTTACTGTTCGATATCAGTGCCTAAATTTGGTGAAATGTGAAGCCTATGATTATGGTGGTCTAGCAGATGTCGTCAACAAAAGTTGTGAATGGTTCAAGTTACGTTCATTGATGGACAACCAATTTAAATGCTTACTATTCATCAAAGCTCTTCAGTCACCACACGATGCTGAGATAAGGACTAGACTTTTGATTCAACTAGGTCAAGATCCAATCGTCACACTCAGGATACTGACAGATGGGTGTAAACGGTTGCAAAATACGAGACACGACAATGAATTAATTCAACAGGTAAATCCGAATTTAACCTTCTGTAGTGTCAACACTATTACAAGATAAAAACCTCAGAAGCCGAGAGCATCAAAAACAACTAATAACAAACCAACGACTGCCTGTTCGCTATGAGGTGATTATCATTCTGTACGATCCTGTTCATCTAAGAAGCATAAATGTTAGATGTACAACAGACGCAGACATAAAGAAGGTTATTGTCCACCAAATCGTTTAGTGCAAATTTAAATCAGCCTTAATCTCTAAAATGGATGAAAAGTGTAGAAAGCGAGAATTGAAAACAGGTCTGGATCTATCGACATGGCTCAAACAAAAGTTGAAAGGCTTCATGTGCTGATGCTGTTTCCTGATCCACATACCTTGAACGTTTTTTCTAACCTACTCTTAGCCATCTACGAGCAAATGAGTAATGATCATTAGGTGAACAGAAATATACAGGATAAGTCTAAAAAAGAAATAAATCTCCATTTCTTAGTTTTTAAAATCTTACATGTTCATGACTTGTCATATTCTTTTTTCTTCAGATTTTATCTACAGATATGTCATCAGCACTTTATCCTGTTTTATGTACCGTGATTTTTAAGACGTTCTTGATGTTTAATCTAAGTGTACATTATGCAGAATAAGTGAATGAAGCAGTTTCTTTGGGGCGTCTTTGCTTCCTTTTATAAACCATGCTTAGTCCAACATAAAATTAGTATGATGAGAATGAACATTTACCTGTTTTGCAAGATTTCACTAAAAATAATATTTTTTGTAAATAGGTAAAATCCAGAAATCGGTGGACGAATTAAATCTGCACCAATATTCAAATCTTCCTCAATGGGTTGCTCGTTTAGATGAAGAAGTTGAACATCGTCTGGTTGCACGCCTTGAGGCTGGTATTTCTGAATGGACACGTGTTTTATTAGGTCAGAAAGACCTGTTTGATGTAAGCGTACTTTTATATTAATTGAATTTGTTTTATAAGATGCTTTTCTAGTGGTACTTTAATAATATATAAGAACTATAAAAAAGTAGCTTCTGTAGAAAGTGTTGTCAAAAAGTTACTGTAAACATGTTTTCTGATGGCACAGAAAAGTTTATTATAATGGAAATAAGTTTAAGTCTGGATATGATGTTACAACTAAATGTCGTATTTCAGAGAATCACTTTTGTATTCATTCACTTCCGGTTTAGTGTGATATATTTGTGAAATTAATTAACTAATCGATTGACGGCTCCATTTTCCGATACTAAGTTCTTTTTATCACCAAACTTGTAAAGTGAAGAGTTGGAGTTAAATATCATATGAAAGATTTGTACACATTTGTATGCAAATGGTTTCTGATGTTTTTCAGAAACCATTGTTGAGGAATGTTGGGGTATGAATTAGATATCTCTCATAAGTCCATCTAATGATTGAGGGATATCAAGCTTTAATTTTGTATTAAAGCAGGGTGAGTATTTTCGGTTTTATTCTTAATGAAAGCCAACACTATTATTCATTTTATGTAATTTTTGTCAAAAAATGACTACAATCTATTTCCAATTTTTAGGCAAATGATTCAGATGATACTCATTCAACACCACAGTCCAAAAATCGTTTAGGTGGTGAACCGCAAATAAAAGCCCTTGTTCATGAACTTAGAATAACCAACCAACAGATTCATTTACATCCTAGCATTGAGGTAGCTCGACATGAACTTATAGTTAATTTAAGCGCTTGGGAAAGCATAGTTCTGAGTCTACCACGAATTCAACATTCACGGTATCAGGTAGATCATGTTTCCTATTTCTGTTTATCTTTTAGTTTCATTTAAAAATGAAGTATTTGTGACTTCATATTTCTTACAAAAGTTTGCAATTTGTCATGTGAAGATGCCAGAAAGTTATTAGTACTAAGTAACTTCTTCAGTCACCTTGAAACTTACATTCTTTTTGAGAAACCATCAAAAAAAGGTTTCTGGGTTTGTTGCAGTTTTAAAGATAAATAAAACAATAATTTAGAAACCTACGAAAACGTGTAAGTATAAATCATACTTTAAACAAGCTCTAGAAAACAACCAGTTTTGTTTTAAATGGAAGTAAACATCTACACTCTGCTTTGTTATTAGTGGTGCTAGATATGGCACATGTTATTGATTCAAGATTCTATAGATATGAAACAAACTGTATGGAAGGAATGTAATTATATGTCTCTGTTTCTTAGATATCCCTTGGTCGGATAACCAGATACGATTACATCGATACGAATCCAGTCAGCCAGTCAGTAACAACGTAGAACTTCGTACGTACGTACATCAGTTCGAGTTGCCACACCACGTTAGCACAGAGATGCAGTGGTCGATTCAAATTCCGTAGTGGTAGAGGTATTAAGAGTATAAGCAGTAATCGGGAAGATTAGTGTTTGGAGATGTTACTTAAAGAGTATAATACAGTGAAATAAATTTGGGAAGAGAAAAAAAAGACAAGGAGGAATTAGGAGATCAAAATTTGGGAGAACACAAAGAGTGGATGCACCTGCGCCATTGCAAACAATTTTGAGCCATGTCATTCAGGGTCTCTAACCATCGGTTGCTATCATCTCGTGGTCCCCAACCAGGTAGTCTACACCTACCGACATGACTCAGTCCACTTGTCAGTGACTTCATGGACTTGTGTCATGTTTTGGTTTGGCCGCCCCTACCTTTCTTCCAACCTACTCCTATACCACTGAACATCGCACGTCGAGGCAGTCGGTCGTTGGACATACGTAACGATACGAATCCTGTTGTTTATAATTCACTAATCAGAATATTTTCATTTTCACCCATAAACCGAATGACCTTTGCTCTTGAGTAATGATCAGGATAATTCTTGACGCTTATTGATCTAGAATGAAAGCTTCTACTATAGCCTTGTTTTTAGTTTGAAGTAAAGAATACAACAATCAGGCAACTCTTTGTAATAATATTACAAATAAGAGTAATCGTTCACCGTATAACAGTTTTAGAAGTTTCAACTTCTTGAGTATTTGTTTTGTGGTAACGACTCTGTTATGCATCAGAAATGTTCTCCTTGTATTATTTAAAAAGGTTGCACTCTGAACGAACTATACAACGATTTATAAATGTTTAAATCGGAAGTTATCAGTAGTAGCGTTCTAGTGAAGAAATATACTGTTGACTCGACAAACAAAGTATACCTCATATACCCTTCCTTTATCATCCATTAGGTTATTATTATTATTGTCTCTGTAGGTTGATTAAGGTGATTTTAACTCACACTGAAGAAACCTAATTTTACTTTATATCACTTTTTACCATTTGTTTTTGAGTCTGTTTATATTGTTTATTGAGTATGCACTAACATACATTCAAAATCCGGATTTATCTACTCAGTTTAGAATATTTAGTGTAAATTTCAAATGAGTTAAATAAAATAATATAAATTCACAAAACTAGGATATTGAGTATCATTATCGTTTGGCGATATAGGTTGGAATTGATTCAGAAACCGATACACAGAAAAATTATAAAAAGCTAATCTATAAACTAGAGAATGGGGGAGAAATTTTGGCCAAAGCTCATGAGGCGATTGTTCAGGTAACTGGTGACGCAAAAGAATATGTCAAGACATGGACAAGTTATCAGGCGCTTTGGGATTTGCAAAGTGATCAGGTTTACGGTCGTCTTGGTTCTGATACTCAGGTGAGTTTCTTTTCCGTTTAATTGCGATAAACGTACGGTTTCAGTCTGTTTTATCTTGAAGTCTATTTACTTTCATTATGAGTTTTCTTTATTCAATGTTTTCCGGTAACTGATGTTTTTTTCCAAAGTTTATACATAGAAATTAGTTACCAAATATCAAGTGAGATAATACTTTGTATTTTAGTATTAATTAGTATTTTAGACAAGTCCAACTACCATTACTCACCTCAGTAACATAGTATACTTAATATTATAAAGACCTAAGGGGTCGTATTCACCAAAAATAACCTAAACGACTCTGCACTTTTAACATGAAGTTTTATTTTTTCCTCATCCTTGAGTATTAGTCCTGGCTTGATTGTGAACATCAGGCTAATAAATTAAGGATAAATGTTTTGAGTTCACTTTTAATAGCGATGCAAGCTGAATTATCTTGAGAAAATGCAAAACTCATTGAGTGTTAAATGTATTTTTTTTTTGCCCTTTGACTTTTCAACGTATTCTATATTTCTACTGAATCAATAGTTAAATCCTCAGGTTATGGAACGAACAAATGAATTATTAATCACGCAGTGTTGAGTCACTTAGACCAGTGGGCAAATTGCAACTTTATTTCATGATTCATGGCTATATGTGTGTTGCTGCATTCGCCAAGAATTTACAAATTCTTATGTAGAAATTTTATGAATTTTGTTAAACTAGTAAAAGTTGGTAATCGTTTAAAAATGTTGTATTCGGCTTTTGAAACATATTTATCACGTGATGCTTGGTAATATTACCTGTCTTCTCAAACTGAAGTACTTAAAGGGAGTTTTCAACTTGTCATTCAGTAGTTGAAAGTAAACTTTCACCATTGATCAAAACTTCCATAGAAATCTAGAATAGTTTCTCTTTCATCCATTTACTTATGTGTACTGATACCGAATTTCATATTCATTAATTTAGGTTTTAAATGATCAGCTGTTTTTTTTTCTAGAATAATTAAATGACTGGTCGAATCGGTAAGTTTTTTACGAGTACCTTTAACAAAGATATCTTATTGTTAAAAATTTAAATAGGTTTGGATGAACCTTCTCGATGAAATCAAAAGTATGCGTCAACATTTCGATGTTGCAGAAACTCAAAAAGAATTTGGTCCAATCATTATCATGTTTGGCAAAGTTCAGTCTAAAGTCTCCTTGAAATATGACAATTGGCATAAAGACATTTTGAGCAAGTTTGGAAGTCATCTTGGTTCTGAAATGCAAGACCTATTCTCACAAGTATCTAAGGTTAGTAATTTCAGTTTTAAATGTTAAATCCTCAATTCGTCGTACTATAAAGAATCCATCAAACAAATTTATTTTGTAACATCTTTCTTATTACTTACGTAATTAAATGGAGATAAATTTATGCATTGGTTATTTTTTTCAGGCCCGCCTCGATCTAGAGCAACAGGCCATAGAAGCTGGAAGTACTGGTGAAGCCGTTAATGCTATCACGTATACACAGACTGTTAAACGAAAAATGAAAGTTTGGGAGAAACAAGTGGAACTCTATCGTTCTGGTCAAAATATTCTCTATCGTGATCGTTTCCAGTTCCCTTCAAATTGGTTGGATTCAGAAAATATTCTAGGTGAATGGAGTGCATTCCAAGAGATTTTACGACGAAAAGAAAATAGTATCGGTACTCAAGTAAGTTATTCGCAACAAGCCTTTTATTTTTACTAATACAATTTCCGAATTGAGGTGTTACCTCTTACTGTCTTTTTGTATTTTAGGTGGCCAGTCTTCAAATGAAAGTTGTAGCTGAGGATAAAATTGTTGAGGGTAAAACCTCTGAATTATTATCATCTTGGGAAAAGGAGAAACCAATTGCCGGTAATCTAAAACCGGAAGAGGCTGTCAATCAACTAACTATATTAGAAGGGAAGTTCAATCGTTTACGTGAAGAACGTGATAATATTCAGCGTGCTAAAGAAGCTTTAGAATTGACTGAATCCGGTTTACTGTCACCAACAGAACAACGTGTACAAGTGGCTTTTGAAGAACTTCAGGTAGGATTATAACATTTTTTAAAATAAAAGGCTTTATATCTGTCCTTTATGTTTGGACATATGTGTTCTACCTAGAATTTGAACAAGTACACTTAATGGTTATTTTAACTTCATGTGACCCAAAATAGATCATCTGAATGATTTATTGTGTAACTCATATATCAAATACAGGTTCATTTGCTTAGGTCTAATTTACATTATTTGTGTAGGGGCTAATGATGCTACTCGTTAATATAGGCAGCTATACTCTACAACCGTGAAGCTTAGCTTTTAGAACTGTCTTTGTCCACCATTGTCTTCGAAGGGTTACTTGTATTTAGTGGTAAAATTGTGTAATTAATGCCGTTGTTCGGTAACGTGCTTGAGCATAGTAGCTTTCGTCATGAGAATTACGTCACGCTGCGTGCCATAACAAATGTAGTAGAGTTAGCAATGAAATAAGTTCCAGTTTAGTCAAATAAAATAATACCGATCCATCAGTCATGTAAACTCCGTAAGACATCCAAAACTTATGGCTGAACATCGTTCGTGTTATTGCGGGTGCTTATACTCTAAATCATAGCGTGGATATAAACATTTTTTTATGCTGTTGATATCAAAACCTCATTTATTTTGGAACACTGAAATCTACTCTGGTCAATAGATCAATCAGTTTGTAAGACAGTAACAATCATTTGATTGTTATTTACGTCGAGTAATGCGATGGAGTTTCTTTTATAAGTTGAATAACATGATTCAAGTTTGCTTTTGTTTTGTCCAATATGCCCAACTTTCCCTGAAACTATTCAAAGCATTGATGATGTACGATTTAAATGTTTAATAATGGGTTTTTAATTAAGTGTCATCTGAATGATGTAGGTTCATTAACCAGTTGTGAAAAACTTTATAGTGAATTTGGAGCTTTACCAGAGTATTAATTTACATATGTAGGCTTTTCTGTATTAAGATGTTAATTTGTGTATAACTAACGGTTCTATCAAAGTAACACTTGACCGTATTCGTTATTTTAGGATCTCAAAAATGTTTGGCTTGAACTGTCCCATGTTTGGGAACAAATCGAGTTAATGAAAGAAACTCCTTGGCAAACTGTCCAACCGCGCAAGTTAAGACAACAGTTAGATGCACTTGCAGGACAATTAAAGGAACTTCCAGCGAGACTTCGACAATATTCATCTTATGAACACGTCAAACGTACTCTTCAAAATTATGCCAAGGCCAATGTTATGATAGTGGAATTGAAGTCAGAAGCATTAAAAGATCGTCATTGGAAGTCTTTAATGAAAAAACTTAACGTCAATTGGACTATGTCTGAATTAACTCTTGGTCATATGTGGGAATTGGATCTCCAACAAAATGAGGCAGTGATCAAAGAAATCTTACTGGTTGCTCAGGGTGAGAAAGCCTTAGAAGAATTTCTCAAACAAGTAACTTAATACTTGAATTTTTCTAATACTTTTTTCATATTAGGTTACTGAAGTGTGGAAGAACTATACACTTGAACTTATTCCTTATCAGGATAAATGTCGACTAATTCGCGGTTGGGATGATTTGTTTAACCGCATCAAAGAACATATAAACAGTTTGAGTGCCATGAAGTTATCACCTTATTTTAAAGTAAGTTTGGTTTTAAATATTATTGATCATCACTGATCATATATTAGATGTTTGTATACTTCGTTACAAAGAAATAAACTGTCGTGTTAAATGCTAGTACATTACTCACGCTTTGATGAACTAGGATTAAAATACTCACGGAATATAAATTCCTTTTCTACATTTTGTAGATTACTCTTATATTCAAAATTCTGAATTAAAATCTCTTGATCGTTTTTGTCACTGAAAATCTCTGCTTTATATGTACTTAGCAATTTGAGGAGGAAGCATTGGCCTGGGAAGATCGTTTAAACAGGATTAACGCTCTGTTCGATGTTTGGATAGATGTACAACGTCGTTGGGTATACCTTGATGGTATTTTCGCCGGTTCTGCCGATATCAAAGTTTTGTTACCGCAAGAATCACAAAGATTCCAGAGTGTGAGCACAGAATTCCTTGGTTTAATGAAGAAAGTCTCAAAGTCACCTCTGGTTATGGATGTACTAAATACTTCAAATGTTCAGCGACAACTGGAGCGATTAGCAGATCTTTTGTCAAAAATACAACGCTCTCTTGGGGAATATCTGGAAAGACAAAGATCATCTTTTCCACGGTATGGTTTGCCACTTTTCCATGTTAGCAGTAGCAATGTAATAATATTATCTTTGTTATTATCCAACTATTTTAGGTATTATCAATGATCTGATATAATCAGTTTATGAATAACATCTATCTTTTGTTTGTACTATATTCAATTTAGATTTTATTTCGTTGGTGATGAAGATTTACTGGAGATTATCGGTAACAGTAAAAATGTTCCACGATTACAGAAGCATTTCAAGAAAATGTTTGCCGGTGTTAATTCTATCAAATTAAATGAAGATAATACGGAAGTTCTAGGTTTATGCTCGAAGGAAGGCGAAGAAGTAACTTTGGTTAAACCGATTTCCATAAAAGATAATCCAATTATTAATGATTGGCTCACTATGCTTGAGCGTGAGATGCGATTTTCTTTGGCTACATATCTAGGTCATGCTATACAAGAATTACAAGTACGTGTTTCAGGAACTATATTCGTTGTTATTTTCTGATTTGTAGTTCCTCAGATGTTAATTCACTAGTTTTTTGTTATTTTACATTCGATATCATATTTTCAGTTCTGATCCCAATTAAACTAAGTTACTCATACTTGAAAGTGTCCAATCATAATTTGTATAGCTCATCAGTAAGGTTTTCGATCCTGGGAGTGAAGAAAACAGACCTAAATGTTTAGAACATAGCTCTTGACATATGAGTCTTAGACACTAGACCTATTTCTGGAGTGTTTACTCGTTAAATCTAGTGTTTATTTTCTACCAACGCTAATGTAGTTTTGCATTCTGGTGTCTAAAAGTTAATTAAGCTTCTAACTTCGTGCTGCTGGTTATAGTTGGTACCATATGTCATTTTATCGATGCAGTACACATTTATTATCTTATTTTCAAATTTCGCAGATAATCGTCAAGTTCCATAGATAAGCAGAATCATAAATTTATGTTTTGTTTATTATTCTGATAAGTTTTAAAAATTGCTTACTAGCAAAATTAACTTGTGGATTATTTGTATATATATGATAGTATGATGTTATACTCATTCAGAATAATTTACACTAACATAAGAGACGATAGTATACCATTTTGTGTAAAGATTCCTTGTTTTGCAAATCTGTCTTCCTCACCAATTAATATATATTTAATTTTTATTACATCGTATCACTTCATTGTATTTGTGTATGTATATACATGTATGTACAGACATCTGGTTACCTTTACGGATCCAATGCTCATGTAAGTTAAATCCAGGACTTTCTAGAGTTTACTTTATATTGTTTGTTCTGTTTGTCTATTCGATTCTCAACCATTTCCCCCTGCATCGTTTTGAGTGTTATCTTCTGCTCTTTCCTGCTCTTGCCTTATCGTTTTTGCTATTTCGACAAATTTATTATGTTTACTGTTTATTGTACAGTATTTCTGTGGTTATTATTCGCATGCTTATATCTGCTAGTTTATGTTGTAGTCAATGCGGCTTCTTGTGAACTTTTTAGAAATATGTTGACTATTTGTTATTTTAAACATTATTAGTTGTTATATTACTGATTTTATTGTTTTAGAAGTTGAAGACTGCACAAGATATAGAAAAATCTGGCTTTCTGGCGTGGTTAGACAAATATCAAGCACAGTTAGTTGTTTTGGCTTCTCAAGTCATCTGGTCTGAAGCTGTTGACAACGCTTTAAATGCTATGAAAGGTCAGAGTAGTTCAGCCCAAGATAGTCCCTTCAAAAGTGCCTGACATCTGTTGAAGGGATGTTAACTGTACTTGCCGATTGTGTTTTGTATGAACAACCACCTGTTCGTCGACAAAAATTGGAACATCTTATCATTGAGCATGTTCATCAACGAGATGTTATTCGTAATCTGATAAGAAGCGATGTTAATTCACCTCGTGCTTTTGATTGGCTCAGTCAAATGCGCTTCTACTTTGATCCAAAACAATCTGATCCTTTACGACAGGTTTCAATCCAAATGGCTAATGCAAAATTCCAGTACGGTTTTGAATATCTGGGTTTGAATGATCGCCTTGTTCAAACTCCACTCACTGACCGTTGTTACTTAACTATGACGCAAGCTCTTGAAGCTCGCCTTGGGGGATCGCCATTCGGTCCAGCAGGAACAGGGAAAACTGAGTCAGTAAAGGCTTTGGGAACTCAATTGGGCCGATTTGTTCTTGTTTTTAATTGTGACGAAACATTTGATTTCCACGTAAGTTTTCGAACTTCATCTTTTCATTTTTTTGTCGGAATGATCAAGCTTTGTAATAACCTAACGTTAATAAAAACTGTCCACAATTTTTGTAGGCGATGGGTCGAATTTTTGTTGGATTGTGCCAAGTTGGAGCTTGGGGATGTTTTGATGAATTCAATCGTTTGGAAGAGCGAATGCTTTCAGCTGTTTCGCAACAGGTACAAGGTATTCAAGAGACTCTTCGAGATATGGCAAGCTCACAAAAGAACTCTACCAAAGAATCTGTTACTGTTGAGCTTCTTGGAAAACAAGTAAGTTTTCATATTTTATTAACCATTGATTGTTTAGTATTTGTTTGTTTTCAAACTTATTTACTTAAATATCCGTAAACCAATTCTTTTAAATTGTGTTATAATAGGTTAGTGTTCATCCTGATATGGCTATATTTATCACTATGAATCCTGGATACGCCGGACGTTCTAATCTACCAGACAATTTGAAGAAACTTTTCCGTTCATTAGCTATGACCCAACCGGATAGACAGTTGATTGCACAAGTTATGCTGTACTCTCAGGTAATACATAATTTCAATTTGTTAGTTAGGTGTTTAATAGCATCTTTTTATCATGATAAAGTTGTATTGGACATCAAAATATTTAAGACTATATTTTTTATTGTTCAGTTTTATATGATTCTAATAGATATCTGTTGCTTTTACTTTTATTTTTACTCAATCTACTTATATTTTCACCACGTTTAATTCTGATTTTTTTGCAGGGCTTCCGAACAGCGGAAAAATTAGCTAGCAAGATTGTCCCTTTTTTCCAACTTTGTGATGAACAGTTATCTGCACAATCACATTATGATTTTGGTTTAAGAGCTCTGAAATCAGTATTGGTTTCAGCTGGTCATGTAAAACGAGAACGTATTCGAAAATTAAAAGAAGATATTTTGTCACGTGGAGAAACGGTTAGCATTTATATATTGCATTAATGGCATGTTACATATTTTGTGTGTTACAGAGTAAATCTATTTTCTGTGGTGAATTGATGAAAGTGCACAACGTTTCCTTGGCCGGAGGTTTTTTATGTCTGTGCTATAAATAGGAAGTGTTTACCTTTCATTGACCTCTACCAATTTGATATTGGTTAACATATTTAAGGTTTACCTATTTTGTATATATTGATTGGGACTAATCAGAATATAAGTATATGATAGTGTTTAACGGTTTTTAAACTTATCGTTTATTCGATTTAGTTAGTAATATCTACGTTGTGACTATTTTGCTTTACTTCGTACTCAAAGTACAACTCGTATATGCTCAAATTTTCATCCTGTTTAGATTTTGAACAAGTTTGTGCAATATCAAATACATAAATCTTGTCCAAATTTTTAAAAAAAACTAGCATTAATATTACTTTCTACTCCTGATTTGGACATATTGATTTAATTATTTTCATCAGATTCGTAAAGAGAATCGCAGTTTTCTATCTTTATTTCTTGAAATTAAACAATAAAATAACTTATATCATTTTATTATTTGGCATTTCTAACATGTTTCTATCTTACTGTTATTTTTCCTCACTATACTTCTACTCTGTGCTCATTTAGGTCAATGAAACATCAATCGCAGAGTCTTTGCCTGAACAAGAAATACTTATTCAATCAGTAATGGAAACAATGGTACCAAAATTGGTCGCTGAAGATATTCCTTTACTTTATAGCCTACTTAATGATGTCTTCCCTGGAGTTCATTACTCCCAATCCGCTATGGAGAAATTACGCTGTGAATTACGTCGTGTTTGTGAGGAAATGTATCTCGTCTATGATGAATCTGGTCTTGATAATCAGAATGGTAGTGATGGTGCTGTACAATTACCTGGAGGTAATTCAGGTGCTAGCCTATGGGTACAGAAAGTTTTACAACTTTATCAGATCACATGCATACATCATGGACTCATGATGGTAGGACCGTCAGGTAGTGGGAAATCTACAGCTTGGCGTGTACTACTGAAAGCTTTAGAACGTGTAGAAGGTGTGGAAGGAGTTGCTCATGTAATTGATCCAAAATCAATCAGCAAAGAATCACTTTACGGCTGTCTTGATCCCAATACACGTGAATGGTCAGATGGTCTATTCACTCACATTCTGAGAAAGTAAGATTTCCTCCTCAAATACGGAATATTCAGGCTCATTTCTAATGTAGATATACTAATAATTTTGCACTCTTTAATTCTTGTTTTTATATATATAGTCAAAGAAAGAAGGATTTAAATAGTAATGTCAATCTTTGATTGAGAACGAAAACACTTTATCAAAAGAACTGTGATATTTCTACTCTGATCTTTTCATTCATCTTATTGTGTCGATTCAAATGTTATCTATTTTTATTCAATGTAATTTCTTTGGTATTTCGAACAAAATTTCCAAGCTTATGAGGTTTCATGTAGCACTTAACTATTTAGTTTTATTAAATACCAACCAATTGGAGAGGTGTTCCAGTTTTAGACGTGTAGTGATGATTTAGTTGTTAAAACATTCTAATAGTGTATATTTTCGACACAGTCGTATAGGGTGTCACTAGTCTTTAGATATGTATCGTGACTCAAAGCCGACTAGATAGAAATATAATTGGTTAGCTTATCAGATCATTATTATTTATTCGATTCTCAGTATTATTCCACGAAGTTTATTTCAAATCATTATATAAAAATACATAAGTATGCTTCACATCTAGATAATTATAATTACCAAATGTTGAATTTCATGATATTTCACAGGCGTATGTACGTAAACATCTAAATTTCCAAAAAAAAGTTGTAATTTAGTAATCATGTTCTTCATGAATTACACTTCTTAAAAAGTACCATCATTTAATCGCCTTTTTGATCTGTTTTCATTGGCAGTAATTTGTGCTTCATACTCTTTTCATTTTTAGAATTATTGACAGTATTCGCGGCGAGTCTTTCAAAAGACAATGGATTATTTTTGATGGTGATGTCGATCCAGAATGGGTAGAAAATCTCAATTCAGTTCTGGATGACAATAAACTTTTAACACTACCTAATGGTGAACGTCTTAGCATTCCACCAAATGTTCGTATAATGTTTGAAGTGCAAGATTTACGTTATGCAACACTGGCTACCGTTTCGCGCTGCGGAATGGTATGGTTTAGCGATGATGTCGTCTCTCCTGAGCTCGTTATGCAACATTTCTTGCTTCAGTTACAAAACGTCCGTATCGACGAAGGCGAGGAAGAGGCTCTTGGTTTCGGCGCTGCTACTGCCACTACTGTTCCCAGTAGCCCTTCATCTAGCAGACATCCTAGTCTTATTGATGATACACCACCAACAAATGTAGCTGTTAGTGCTTCGATGCAGCTTCAACGAGATATTGCTTCAATATTAACTCCGTTCTTTGCTGAAGGTGGTTTAGTTGCAAGATGTTTGGAATATGCTAAGGATCTTGAACACATAATGGATTTTATGCCTTTGAGATCATTAACAAGTCTCTTTTCTATCCTTAAACAATGTACACGAAGCATTTTAGCCTACAATGTGACTCACCCAGATTTTCCAATGTCATTGGATAAAGTTGAATCGTATGTTACAAAATGCCTTATTACAGGTATAATTTGGTCTCTTTGTGGGGATGGGAAATTACATGTTCGCGAACAACTTGGCTCATATATTCGTGAAATTACTACCGTTCCGATGCCTCCGTCCGGTACACCTGTAATTGATTATGAAGTTGCTTTGTCTGGTGAATGGCAGCCTTGGGCTCAAAAAGTTCCAGTAATCGAGATTGAAACACATAAAATAACGTCGATGGACGTTGTGGTACCGACGCTGGATACCGTTAGACACGAAGCTTTGTTGTACATGTGGTTAGCAGAGCATCGTCCAATGATTCTATGCGGTCCTCCAGGATCTGGAAAAACCATGACACTTTTCAGGTAGCCTTTTTACATAATTAATTCTTAGTTCCTGTCGAAATCTTTTTATTGAAATTATGATTCTGCAAATTTGAAAAAATGTTTATCTTACTGCAGTCATATCTATAGGATTCCATGTTATGCTTAAGTTATATATTTGATAATTTCACTACAAATTAAATGTCTGACAAATGCACTATGGTCTTTGAGATTATTCGAATTAAGCATTTATCACTAAAAGATGTAAATTTTTCACCAAATAGTGTAACAGTTGGTTATTTAACTCAAAGTACATGTTCAAATTGACAAGAACTCAAGACACTTACTTACGCCTGTTACTCCTCGTGAAGGAGCATAGGCCACTCACCAGCATTCTCCATCCAACCCTGTCCTGGGCAATCCTTTCTAGCTCCGTCCAGTTGTAATTCATCCTTTTCATATCTGCTTCTATTATCCGACGCAATGTGTTCTTTGGCCTTCCTCTTTTTCGCTTCCCTTCAGGATTCCAAGTTAGGGCTTGCCTCGTGATGCAGTTTGACGATTTGCGTAATGTATGTCCTATCCATTTCCATCGTCTTTTCCTAATTTCTTCTTCAGCTGGAAGTTGGTTTGTTCTCTCCCACAGAAGGCTATTGCTGATGGTATCCGGCCAATGGATGTTGAGTATCTTGCGTAGACAGCTATTTATAAATACTTGTACTTTCTTGATTGTGGTTGTTGTAGTTCTCCAAGTTTCAGCTCCATACAGTAGAACTGCCTTGACGTTCGTATTGAAGATTCTCACTTTGATATTGGTTGAAAGTTGTTTTGAGTTCCATATGTTCTTCAATTGTAGGAATGCGACCCTTGCTTTGCCGATCCTCGCCTTTACGTCTGCATCTGAACCTCCTTGTTCATCGATGATGCTTCCTAGGTATGTGAAGGACTCTACATCTTCCAGAGTTTCGCCATCAAGAGTGATTGGATTGCTGTTTTCCGCTTTGAATTTGAGGACCTTGGTTTTCCCTTTGTGTATGCTGAGGCCTACTGATGCAGAGACTGCTGCTACACTGGCTGTCTTCATCTGCATCTGTTCGTGTGTACGTGATAGGAGGGCTAGGTCGTCTGCGAAGTCCAAATCGTCTAATTGATTCTGAGCTGTCCATTGTATTCCGTGTTTTCCTTCAGATGTCGAGGTCTTCATAATCCAGTCGACCACCAGAAGAAAGAGGAAGGGAGAGAGTAAACAGCCTTGTCTGACTCCAGTCCTTACTTGGAATGCATCTGTCAGCTGTCCTCCATGCACTACTTTGCACTGTAGTCCGTCGTATGAGTTCCGGATAATGTTGACAATCTTCTCAGGAACTCCGTAGTGTCGAAGAAGTTTCCATAATGTCCTCCTATCTACACTGTCGAATGCCTTTTCATAATCAATGAAGTTGATGTATAGTGATGAGTTCCACTCAACTGATTGTTCGACGATGATCCGTAGTGTTGCAATTTGGTCTGTGCACGACCGATCCTTACGGAATCCAGCTTGTTGATCTCGAAGTTGGGCGTCTACTGCATCCTTCATCCGGTTCAGCAACACTCTGTTGAAGACTTTCCCTGGTATTGACAGTAGTGTAATGCCTCTGTAGTTTTCACATTTGCTCAGATCTCCTTTCTTTGGAATCTTGACGAGGTGTCCTTCTTTCCAGTCCATCGGCACTTGTTCCTCCTCCCAAATCTTTTTGAATAGAAGGTAAGCATGCTTGTGGTTGCTTCGATGTCTGATTTCAGTGCTTCAGCTGGTATGTTGTCGGGTCCTGCTGCTTTCCCGTTCTTGATTTGTCTGACGGCCATTCTAATTTCTTCCGTCGTTGGTGGGTTGACATCTATAGGAAGATCTATGTGTGCTGCTTCGATGTCCGGTGGATTCATTGGAGCCGGCCTATTCAGGAGTTCCTCGAAGTATTCTACCCATCTGTTACGCTGTTGTTGAATTTCGGTGATTGGCTTGCCTTCTTTGTCTTTGACCGGCCTCTCTGGTTTACTGTATTTCCCTGCTAGTTTCTTCGTTGTATCGTGAAGCTGTTTCATATTTCCTTCTCTAGCAGCTTTTTCTGCCGTCGTTGCTAGTTCTTCCACGTATTTCTTCTTGTCGGCTCTAATGCTCCTCTTCACTTGTTTGTTTGCTTCTATGTATTCAGCTTGTGCTTGGACTTTCTCTGCTCGTGTTCGGCTGTTGTTAATTGCTGCCTTCTTGTTCTTCCTTTCTTTGATCTTGTCCAGTGTTTCTATAGAGATCCATTCCTTATGATGGTGTTTCTTTAGGCCCAGAACCTCTTGACACGTTGAAGTTAATGCTTCCTTGATGCCTTTCCAGTTGTCCTCCATAGTAGTTTCTTCTTCTTCAGTAGATCTTGTAAGGCTTGGAACCTGTTGTTGAGAGCTATCTTGAATTCATTGAGTTTGTCAGTATCTCGAAGGAAGGCTGTATTGAACCTTTGTAGTGCTGTTTGTCCACTTGTCCAGTTCTTTTTTAGCTTCAGTTTTAAATTGGCTACAACTAGGTGGTGATCTGAAGCTACGTCAGCACCTCTCCTGGTTCTCACATCTTCCATTGTCCTTCGGAATTTTTTGTTGATGCAAATATGATCTATTTGGTTCTCTGTAGTGTGGTCCGGTGAGATCCATGTAGCCTTGTGTATACGCTTGTGTGGAAATATTGTGCCTCCTATGACCAATTTGTTGAATGCACATAGATTTGCAAATCTTTCTCCATTTTCGTTTCTTTCTCCCAGTCCATGTCGTCCCATAATATCTTCATATCCAGTGTTGTCTATTCCGACTTTGGCATTTAGATCTCCCATCAGAATAGTTAGGTCCTTTCTTGGCATTTCTCAATGATTGACTGCAGCCGCTCGTAGAACTGATCTTTAATGTCGTCGTTGCTATCATTGGTGGGTGCATAACATTGGATAATATTCATTAAGATCCCCTCCTTCTTTGTTTTGAATGATGCTTTGATGATTCTGGATCCGTGAGACTCCCATCCTACAAGTGCATTTCGTGCTACTTTGGACAGCATAAGAGCGACTCCCTGAGTGTGTGGAGCATTGTCCTCTTCGTGACCGGAGTATAGCAGCATCTCTCCCGTAGCTAGCCTTTTCTGTCCAGCTTGGGTCCAGTGGGTTTCGCTGATTCCCAGTACTGCTAAGTTGTATCTCCTCATTTCCATTGCTATTTGACTGGTCTTCCCGGTTTCCCACATTGTTCGAACGTTCCATGTACCTATAAAAATTTTTGCTCTGGTTGTTAGAAGGGGCATCGGCCTCGTGGCTTCCGAAGGAACTCGGCTTTCACCATGAAGCGTCATAATTCTTCTAACTGAAGACCTTCTAACTCCCAGGGCAGAGTTTAAATGGTTTGGATTATTTTTTCTGGTAAGCGTTTTTTTAGCGAGTTAGTTTTCTACGGGATGGGGACGCTAACCCCATGCCCAACCCTCCTCCTTTACCCGGGCTTGGGACCGGCAGTAACCCTATAAGAGCTACAGGCGGAGTTAACTCAAGACACATCGCAACTAATTATTTTGATAGCCAAAATGCTTATAAAGTTATTTTAAAAAACAGCTTTATAAACTGAGCAATAATTTGGATTTATGCTATAAAAGCAGTTGTTTAATACAGACGCAACTAATACAATGACGAACAGTTCTCACAGGGTATGTCTCACTCATTTGATTTGTCCCGTAATTCGAAATTTTCCAACTGAAATAAATGAAAATATGCAGTTTTTTAGTTTATGTTTCATGACTTAAAATTTCCCCATAAACTTACCTCGAATATTGTCTTTTGTTTATTCATACTTTAACGTTAGTTGAGGTTATCTACTTAAACTTATCTCACTAAATAATATTACACATTCATTACGCGTTCATTTGTATTTTGAAATGTACAATGATTCCTAAATAATTACTTTCAACGTATTTTTATTACACTAGAAACTACAATGTGTAGACTAAATGTTAATAAATAATTCATTTCTATTTACTTCAACGAGTTTTCACTCTTATATATCTTCGCTTTTTATTGTTCTTACTTCTCAGTGCATTACGTAGCCTACCAGATATGGAGGTAGTGGGCCTTAATTTCTCCAGTGCTACTACTCCAGAATTGATGTTAAAAACATTTGATCAATATTGTGAATATCGTAAAACACCAAATGGTTTAGTATTGGCACCTGTTCAACTAAATAAGTGGCTAGTATTCTTTTGTGATGAAATTAACTTGCCTAATGAAGATAAATATGGTACTCAACGTGTTATTAGTTTTCTCCGACAAATGGTTGAACATGGTGGTTTTTATCAAACTACAGATATGCAGTGGGTAAAATTTGAACGTATTCAATTTGTCGGTGCATGTAATCCACCTACTGATCCCGGTAGGAAACCACTTTCTCATCGCTTCTTACGTCATGTTCCCGTTGTATATGTTGACTATCCTGGTGAAACATCACTAAAGCAAATATATGGGACATTCAACCGTGCTATGTTACGCCTTCTTCCTTCTCTTCGTCCACAAGCTGATTCACTTACAAATGCTATGGTTGAATTTTTCTTGATGTCTCAAAAACGCTTCACACAAGATATGCAACCTCACTATGTTTACAGCCCTCGTGAATTATCACGATGGGTTAGAGGTATACATGAAGCTTTAAAACCTTTAGATAGTCTCCCATTAGAAGGTTTGGTGCGGATATGGGCTCACGAAGCGTTACGATTGTTCCAAGATCGTTTGATCGAAGAATCTGAGCGTCAGTGGACTGATATGAACATAGATGAAGTAGCGATAAAATATTTCCCTACAATAGACCGTGCGGTAGCCCTCCAACGACCAATTCTCTTTAGTAACTGGTTATCCAAGGATTATTCATCAGTGGAGCAAGGACCATTGCGTGATTATATAAAAGCACGTCTAAAAGTATTTTATGAAGAAGAATTAGATGTACCTCTGGTATTGTTTAATCAAGTTTTAGATCACGTTCTTCGTATTGACAGAGTTTTTCGTCAACCACAGGGCCATTTATTGCTCATAGGAGTCAGTGGAGCTGGTAAAACTACTCTGTCGAGGTTTGTTTCATGGATAAATGGATTAAGCGTATTCCAAGTTAAAGTGCATAATAAATATACAGCAGAGAATTTTGATGACGATTTAAGAAATGTTTTACGCAGAGCTGGTTGTAAAGGTGAAAAGATTACATTCATAATGGATGAATCAAATGTTTTGGACTCCAGTTTCCTTGAACGTATTAATACACTTCTGGCAAATGGGGAAGTTCCTGGTCTTTTTGAAGGAGATGAATTCTCAGCTTTGATGACACAATGCAAAGAAGGAGCTATACGCGAAGGACTCATGATCGACAGTCATGAAGAGTTATATAAATGGTTTACATCTCAAATATGCACTAATTTACATGTTGTTTTCACAATGAATCCATCAGCTGATGGTCTGAAAGATCGTGCCTCCACATCTCCTGCACTGTTTAATCGTTGTGTTCTCAATTGGTTTGGTGATTGGTCTTTAGAAGCTTATTATCAGGTAAATTTTCGTATCTCGGTTGTTTTTACACTAAGCATGTTTGCTCATTTGTTCAACAATGTCTTGAAGTTTTGTCGAATCTGTGAAAGAAAAGGCACTTTTGACATTATTTTTTAATTTTTATTACATAATGTATTGTTTATTTATTATGAGGTGAAAACTGTAAACTTATTCCTCATTTTTCAGGTTGGGAAAGAATTCACTATTAAAATGGACATGGAACGCCCGGACTATAAAGTTCCTGATATCATACCCTCTGTTGTTGAAGGGCTTCTTCCTGAATGTCCCTCATTCCGTGAAATGGTTTCAAACGCCTTTGTTTTTGTCCATCAAACACTGCACGAGGCTAATCTTCGTCTACAAAAACGAGGTGCTCGTACTATGTGGATTACGCCAAGACATTTCCTTGATTTTATTGCACATTTTGTAAATTTAATGCATGAAAAACGTTCAGATTTGGAAGAACAACAGTTACATTTACATATTGGATTGCAAAAAATCAAAGAAACTGTTGAACAGGTTGGAATGTTTGTATTGTATTGTTTTTGTTTTTACTCACCAGCTAAATAATTTTTTCAACCTTATAAATTAACCAAAGGTCTCTTATATTTGTTTCCGGTTATCTTGTAGTCATTGACTTGTTATGTGTATATGTGTTACATTCTTGATCCGTCTGGAGAATAATATAATGGATAGGACTTGTCTCAATCTAGTTTATGGCCTTGATACGACAGACTATCTAGTTCAACTTTGAGGACAGTAATGCATGGGTCCAAAATGAAAATAAACGACCTTGGGGCAGAGAGACAGAAACTATTCTATCACCTGATTGCTTGATAAGCGTGAAAAAGAAAACTAGCCTGCTAAATTACTGCCCGATCTATTCCTGATTCAGATTAACAAAAAAATATGAATGAATAAATAGTTAAAGAACACGGCCACAACGCACAAACAACTAGAAAAATACAATTATGTCCAAACCGAGCATTAGGGTAGAAAAAACGAAGTACAAAAGGTTACGTTAAACTTACAATAGTTTTAGAATAGAAAATTATCTGACAAAGAGCCATTCATTAAACGAAAACTCATGGTTTACGAAATAAATTAGTGACCAAACTAAATGTTAGTATTCTACAAAGTTTGAATTAATTGAACTAACGTCCTCAAAAGTGGCTTCCGTTGTTCGTCATAGCCTCTTTATTTCTTTATTCACATTAATATGTGTCTTTCAGGTTGAAGTCATGCAGAAATCGTTAACACAAAAAAGTTTGGAATTAGAACAAATGAATAATGCAGCAAATGATAAATTAAAACAAATGGTTCAAGATCAACAGGAAGCAGAGAAAAAGAAAACTATGAGTCAAAGATTACAAGAAGAATTGACGAATCAAGAATTATACATTAATGAGAAACGTACTTTAGTTATGAATGAACTTAGTCAAGTTGAACCGGCTGTTGCAGAAGCTAAACAAGGTATGTTTATAAATGACGAATAGAAAAAACTTTTGATTTTTGGAAAATTTTTGAAAATTTACTGTATCAGGTTATTTCTATTATTGAATCACAGTGTAATGACAGTGATTCTTTAATTAACATTACTTTCTATATTGATGAAATTTCGTAGCCGTTACTATGAGATTTGGTGATGAGTATTTGATAAACACTCGTAGGATTTAGTCGTTATATATCAAATAATGGAGTTGGTTAATTTTTTGTTGTCATTAGATATTGAGTTTTGTAGACATAATAATTCTACTTATAGTCTGGAAACATCTGAGGAATAAATGCATCTGTAGAATGATGGTTTATAATATTTTGCAGATGAATGTTTCAAGTTTCCGAAAGGTTATTGTCACCTAACATTTGAGTTGATTTTCACGTTCCATCGTAATAAAAAAAAGTTTACTATTACAGAAATGACTAATATTTCTCATCCTAGCCGTCAATGCAATAAAACGTGCACAGTTGGTTGAGGTTCGTGCGCTGGGTAATCCACCCCAGCCAGTCAAATTAGCGATTGAATCCATCTGTACAATGTTGGGTGAAACTGATTTGGACTGGAAGGAATTACGTTCTTATTTAATTCGTGACAACTTTATCTCATCTATTGTGAATTTTAACGCTGAGGATATTACGTGAGTAATAAGGCTTCTTGCCGTGTTGAATCATTTCTGTCGCTATCACAAAGCCTGCAATTTTATACTTGTTGCGTTTGTGTATAAATTTACTATCCGTTATTTGCTTGCCAAGTATTATGTGTTCGTTGATGTTTTGTTTGTACATTTTAACCATTTAATTGTTCGGTCTTAAATGTTTATAAGTGTTGCATGTGCTTTCAGTTATTTGTTACTTGTTATTATTCGTCCCAGCTGTCGAGGGAATACGCAAAAGAGATATCCAAGAGATAAGAGCTATGAAAAATCCTCCTCCCGTTGTCAAAATGGCAGTGGAATCTATTTGCTTATTGCTGGGCGAAGCATCCACTGATTGGAATCAAATTTTGAAAATTCTTGTGAAAGATTCATTCGTTCCCAGCATTATCAATTTTAACACCGATGATGTAACGTAAGTTTTTATATGTTGACCACCTTTTTACAGGTCTGATATAGAAATATAATCTCTTTCCCTTAAAATTAACACATTGTTTATCAAATGCATGTTCAATCTTTGTGAATTAATAGTACTTTTAATATGAGTTCAATTGATATTCATATTTGTATTTCCTTACTTACAGATTGTTTTTTTTATTTCAATATTTTATATTATTGTACAAGATTACATGAATTATTGATCGTGTGGATTCGCATTACTGCTATAACTCAATACGGCATAATTGGATTATCTAAATTTTCATTGTGTTTTTTTATTGTTCCTGCTACCTAATTTTTATGTGTATGACATACTGTTTTTCAATGTTAAATGTTTCAATATTTTTTTGTTCAGCTTTGAAATTGTATTTTTAGTAGTATATATAAATGTGTGCTTATTTGTGTGTTTCCACAATATGTTACAAATTTACTGCCATACATTTTTTCAGCATATGGTCGATGATATGGTTGGTTTTATTTATAAATTAATTATACTACTAACCATATCTATCTATCTATATGTATATATTTTTTTAGTGATAGTATCAGAGATACAATGAAAAAGAAGTATATCAGCAATCCTGATTATAATTTTGAGAAAGTTAACCGAGCTAGTAGTGCTTGTGGACCAATGGTGAAATGGGCTATAGCTCAGGTTAGTAGTTTTTGTGATGCTTAGATATGGTTATCGATTTTATATTTTTAAGAAAAATAATGGTATAGGTTGTTTGATATTTCTAAGATTATAGGTTATCTAGATTTGTGAACAGATGCTCTTTTTCTGATAAATATAACGATGAGTACGTATCTCATAATCCATATCTCCGCATAACTTTTGGTGTCTTTTATTGCTTGTTAGTACTTTTAATTTGCTAATTTTTCTGCGTCTTTTGTAAAGTTGTTCTATATCAATTTGTCTCCGTTCCATACCAAGCCTTCATTTGCACTTCTGCCTTCGTTTTTGATTCCATCATTTGGGATTTTTATTGGTGTGTGTGTTAGTTGCTGCTTTATCTAGTTCGTAGTACATAAATTATCATAGGCCGTGTCAAAACAGATCGGAAGACATAACATATGTTTAATTAGTTAAGAAGCGAGCCTATAAATAAAACTACTAGCATAAAAATCTTCGTGTGTTCGGGAATGTTAATTGCAGATAAATGTGTAGATTCCTTGTTAGACAGAAACAAGCGTTGCAATCGAGTTACATAAAAGTATTCAGCTTCGACTTATTTCTCTCGTTAGCAATACATAAAGAAAAAAGTCAATAAAATGAGAAGCTATTAAATAAATAAAAAGAATATTGGTCAAGAACGGAAAATCGAAGATAATTATTAATGTGTTTAAGAATTTATTCATGTTTTTGCGGTTCAAGTAGCCAGAATTTTTGTAGAGTGTTTTGTCATCTTGGAAAATGTTGTCAACGTGGAAGTCTCGTTCTACGCCACAATTTCAGGCGACATTAAGTTTGGTCAAAAGCGGATAACAATATCCTACCATTTGTGCGTAATGTTACTCTGTAGTTTATGTTACTTTATATGTAATGCAGGTTCGTTCATCTAGTTACCCATTCTGGCACATTTGAGAAGTTACTCACTAATATCGGACATAACGTCAATATTATCAGCCTGGTTTCATCGTTAACCTTCTTGGTATCAATGTAGCACACACAAATTGTTTTATTAGTCACCGAAGTGCGTCATTTTGTACGTAAAGCATCAGATAAACATGTGACCTAAAAGGTGTCCTGAAATAACGTATTTATTTTTCTTTTCAAGATAAACTATGCGGATATATTGAAGAAAGTTGAACCACTTCGAAATGAATTGAAAACATTAGAGGCTGCTGCAACTACAAATAAAGAGGAGGCGAAAAATAATGAAGTTACGATTGCAGCGTTAGAGAAAAGCATTGCTAAATACAAAGAAGAATACGCAGTTCTAATCAGTCAAGCTCAAGCGATTAAGTCAGATTTGGCTACTGTGGAAGCAAAGGTATATATATATATATGTATATCACTGAGATTTTGTTTGAATTGATACATTTTGTTATTTACATCTTCGCCCTCATTCTTCTTTTCTTAGTTTATAGTTTCGAAACTGTTATGTTACAAGGCGTCCGATTCTGTTGTTGGTACTCAGGTTTCCTGTACATAAGCCCAACCGGCTACTTGATTAACGAGGTCAAGAGTGAGAAAAAAGCTTTACTGATTAAAACCGAGTCGAAGATGTTTGTATATATATATATATATATATATATATATATATATATATATTCGGACCAGTAGTGTCTCATTTTTTTGAGAAGGTAGCCATATCTTGGCCAACCGTTTGCAGCTGTCATTTTATAGATGTCACTGTATCACTTTACCCTCCTGAAAGAAATGTTTGGCTTTTTGGTTTCAACTGTAGCGATTGAAGTGGGCTCAAATCAAATGTATTTTTCTTCAGTTTCGAAAACAGTGTTCAAGTTTAATTCATTTGTATTGGTTGTTTGAATCTTATCGACTAATTAAACTGTATGTTTTGGCATATGTGGATGCTACGCGGATTGCCTCTGTACTTCCATTACGTCACAGGCGTTATAAACAGAAATGAGTAGTGATTAGCAGTGGATTTCGAATTTTAAATTCAATTCACACGCATCGTAGTCAAATAAATAAGGGAAAAAAATACATTATTAGTTAGCGATAACATTGACAAAAAAATCAAAATGTATTATCACAGTATATGAAATCAGTTTTTGTTTATACTGAAATAAATCAAACACATTCTTATTGTATATTGGAAAGTGAGTTCAAAAGTAGTGATTTTGTCCCACTTTGCAGTTTTATTGATACACTTTATAAATCTGATATACAATCTTACGTATTAAGGCATTACGGCAAGTGTAAACTTCTAAAAAAAATAGGACAAACCTCTTGAAGTTGTTTCTTTGTATGAAGATTCACTAGTTTGCCATAGGACTGTCGGGAAATAAAGCAACTACTTACTGTTCTCAGAGACGTTTAGGCATTGTAAAAGCACACTATTTGTTTTTACCGATCTTTTGTGATAGTAAATGTCATTAAATTGCGTCTCCTATTCTTAAATTTTATTTTCCAAATATTCATTTCTGACCAATTTATGGTGTTTTTTAATAAAAAATTTCCGTAATTTTAGGTTGCACGTTCTGTTGCATTGATTAAGTCGTTGAGTAACGAACGAGCTCGTTGGGAAAGTAGTTCTGAAACTTTTAAATCTCAAATGTCCACTATATTCGGTGATTGTTTACTTTCTGCAGCATTTATGGCTTATGCTGGTTATTTTGATCAACATTTTCGTTCACGCTTATTTGCCACGTGGTGTCAGCATTTACAATCTGTTGGTATCCATTTCCGTAATGATCTGGCTCTAGTGGAGGTTAGTTCCTTATATTTGATAGAAAAAATATATTCCAAATATGCCTTGTATGAGTATTTATTACTTTTAAGATCTAGTGAATTCACCACTGTTGTATAACCAAAATTTTGTTGCTTTTCTCAGTACCTATCCAATCCAGATGAACGACTCAGATGGCAGGCCAATGCTCTTCCTGATGATGAATTGTGTGTCGAGAATGCTATAATACTACGACGCTTTAATAGATATCCATTGATAATCGATCCGAGTGGTCAGGCGACTGAGTTTTTGGTAAATGAATATAAATCCAAGAAGATTATGAAAACATCCTTCCTTGATGACGCTTTCCGTAAAACTTTGGAATCTGCCTTAAGATTCGGTACACCGCTTCTCGTTCAAGATGTAGAATCGTACGACTCTATTTTAAACCCGGTGCTCAATCGAGAAGTTCGTAGAACCGGTGGCCGAACTCTGATTACCATTGGAGATCAAGACATTGATCTATCACCAACGTTTCGTATTTTCTTATCTACAAGAGATCCCTCTGTAAGTCATTACCAAAAATGTTTTAAGTTTTCTTATAACTTGATACAATACTAATAATATATTGTTTAATTATTATGCCGCTACATTTTATAGTTTTAGCCAATTACACAGTTAAATTTGACTCTTTTTTTAATACAGGTCGATTTCCCTGCTGATGTTTGTTCTCGTGTGACCTTCGTGAATTTCACCGTCACACGTGGAAGTTTACAAAGTCAATGTCTTAATGCAGCTCTTAAAGCTGAACGTCCTGATGTGGATGCGAAAAGATCAGATTTATTAAAAATGCAAGGAGAATTTCAACTTAAATTACGTCATTTGGAGAAAGATCTATTACAGTCGTTAAATGAAGCCAAGGTACTTTTCATTGTGTTATTTTTTTAAAGACTTGAATTACTTTTTTAAATGTATATAATTACTGACGATTGTGAGATATCAACTATACGTCATCTTTTCACACTTTCATAGTCATTTCACTTTGTTACTCCATTGTTCACAGATAAATAAATAATTACAATAACGTGAACTTATCTGAGACCGTATACTTAGTTTCATGCTAAAACTATTTCTACGTAATATGCTTTTCTCTTTTATGATCAGTCACTGTTTTGTAATGTTATTTATTTAATCAACTGTAATTCTAGCTTACCAGCGTTTATATCCTTTTTAAAATTACCCTTTTTTATCCTTTATTTCACTCATATGTATCATGCTTGCCTTACAGATTCATCTATTTCATATCCTATTGCATTATTTTTGGTTACTTTAATTAGCTATTGAAGTTTATTGAAAATATATCCCAGTTTAAGAAATAAATATTAAGACCTATCATCTACCAAGGCTCTTGGTGCCTGTTTAGTTCCACCAAATTATGTAGCTGTGTTAGACAAGTTCTAAAACACTCTAGACGGTGTCTAAATTATTTAAAACCCAATAAGTATGAATTTCTGTCTTGTATACTATATAGATATAAAACTGTGAAGAAAGGTGTGGTTACTGGCTTTCCAGTTAATTTCTAATAATCAAACCTTACTGCTTGTGTTTTTCTGTTTGGATAGCCGTCTACGATCATCCACAAAGTGAGAATTGATCACATGAATCGATATTTGACTACTTATAATGTTTGTTTTCTTCTAATTTGTTTTTCTGTTCATTGAAAAACTTTTCAATATGACATGAATAATGCTTAGCGAACAACTCTAAAGTAAAGTTTATTCTTAAGTATATAATCTAGTAAACAATTTTTAAGTCAACTCTTTTTTAAGTGAACAATTTTCAATATGTAAGTCAGAATTTTCTTGTCCAACGAAATGCTACTATTCTATCTACTAATATCACTTTACATAATGTGTTTTTTTTCAGGGCAATTTGTTAGATGATGACAAAATTATTACACATTTGGAGACACTTAAGCAAGAAGCTGGGGAAGTAGCTAAAAAAGTTGAAGAAACTGATGTTATCATGAAAGAAGTCGAATCTGTATCACAGCAATATGTAGCTCTTGCACAATCATGTTCAAGTATTTATTTCACTCTACAAGCAATGAATCAAGTACATTTCCTTTATCAGTACTCATTACAATTTCTATTGGATATATTCAATTGTGTATTAACTCAGAATGTTCGATTGAAAGATGTAAAAGATTGTGCTCAACGTTTACAAATTATAACAAAAGATTTATTCCAGGTGTGTATTTTATTTTTCATGAGATTTACATTTTGTTTGTCTACGTTCTAAATCTTTGAACTGTACTGGTCGAAGTTCATATCGCTATCTTATTTAGTCTCTATATATCTCCTCATAATATCGGCTCATCTTTTAGACGTAGACATCCTAGGATCTGGGACAAATTCTCATCAGTATTTAGACAGATAATTAACAATATGAGAAGTAAATGAATCAAAATAATTACACCAGTAGTAGTGGGAAACTAAATATAACAGTGTTAAGGCATTGTGCATTAATCTGCTTAATATTTTAACTAATTGACTCATTTAACCAGTTATTCAAGTATGAACCACACTCCAAGGCTAATAAGACTCTTCGGTTTCCCAAAGTGGACGAGGTGGAACAGGGTTCGAACTTAGAACCGGAAGTCGAACTACTATACCACAGATCCAGTTCAACATTTAGAATAGGGTGAAAAAATGCATCTCCATCACTTCCATATATTTTGAACTTCGCCATCTAAAGTTCATAAATCACGGTAAATGATTTCTCAAATCTTCAAACAGTTAATCTTGTATCTTCTGAAGTTGATTTGATTAATTGTCATTGACTTCATCAATTAGTTCCATGTTTGGTTTTTAATTGTTATTTATGTTAGGAATTTAACTCTATTTTAGTTTTCATCTTGTTAGTTTCTACCGATTATTTATACAACTTGAACTAGTATATCATTAGCTTTCAGTGACGGTAAATATGATAGATATGACGTGAATTCTTTTTCAAATCGTACGGTAATTGTTGCGACCTATTTAAAATTTTATAATCTTCACTTGTTTGGGAAATTTCAAACAAATAATATCATTAATTACTTATTCATTTCTCTAATTATAGGTAACTTATAATCGTATTGCAAGGGGAATGCTATATAAAGATCAAATTACCTTATCTGTCTTATTGGCACGTATATTTATTAAAGGACAAATCACTGGTATACCTAATATTCAACAAAATGGACTAGAATCTGAATTTACATGTTTCCTTCATGGACAAGAAACACTTAAGAAGGGAGGTGATAATTCGACTAGTGATAATGATACTTCATATTTAGGGAATAAAGGTCAATGCTTGAAAGCAAAGCTTAATGCCTTTAAAAATCTAGATAAATTGATTTCCCAAAAAAGTGATATATTTAAATCTTGGTTGGAAAGTGTTTCACCAGAAGTAAGTACATTTTAAAAATTCATATTTGCAGATTACTTATCATATGATTTATATAAGTTTAATTAGTATTTTATTAAAATAAAACATGTTCTAAATATAATTAATTTATATTGTCTTCTACAGGCAGATGTTCCTGAATTGTGGGAAGCACCCAACTCACCAAATGATTGGTTTGGAGTTGTACGTAACCAGCTGTATAGTCTACTTCTTATTCAAGCTTTCCGTCCTGATCGCATTCTTGCTGCTGCCCATCTTTTTGTCATCACATGTTTTGGACAAAACTTTATGGAGTCGGCTCGTGGTCATTTAGAATTAATGTCAATTGTGGAGCATGAAATCCGAGCTAATATACCAGTTTTATTGTGTGCTGCACAAGTGAGTTATTGATTTTATATGAAGAAATGGGTGAATCATTCCCGTTAATTCATTACTCAAAAATACAGTATAACAGATGAAAGCGTAGTTGCTAACATCCTTTCAAAAACCTAGATAATTAGGACATGCGATTTAGCTTTCACTTTTATTATACTTGTTGGTTTGAAGATAGCCGTTCATGTTAAAATAACGTCAGTTTGAAAATTAATTGATATTAGTTTCATCCTAACCTATAACTACTTTTTAATGAGACTCATTGTCAGTCAACCATCTTTGTTCTTGAACTGTAATTTAAAAAATTTATTTCATATCCTCTTCTAATATTTATGTGAACTTGATAAATTTCACTCTACAGTGGATTTTAATTTGACATGAGGACATCTAAACGTCCATACGATACTACTATCTGATTAATTGATACATGGTTATTTATTATGCTTACATACGTGGTATCTGTCAACTTATCAATTGTTCAGATTTATATTTTTATCTTGTTTTTGTTTTAAAGGGTTTCGATCCAAGTGGTCGAGTGGAAGATCTAGCAAATGAACACAACAAACAACTAACAAGTATAGCTATTGGGTCTGCTGAAGGTTTCTCACAGGCTGATAAAGCAATCAATTCTGCAGCAAAAAGTGGAAAATGGGTTATGTTGAAAAATGTTCATTTGGCCTCTGGATGGTTGGTACAAATGGAGAAGAAGCTTCATAGTGTACAACCTCATCCAAACTTCCGACTATTCCTTACAATGGAAATAAATCCCAAGCTACCCGTAAATGTACTACGTTCTGGCCGTGTTTTAGTGTTTGAACCGCCACCTGGTATTAAGGTCAGTTATATATTTTCTTGTTATTTATGGTTGTTGATTCATTTATTCCGTATATTTATAGCAATATACTTGTTCCGTTTTATGTATTATCGGTTATATTGGCACATTGGAATGTAATAATATTTGTGTTTTATTCAATACTCCAGGCAAGTCTTTTACGGACATTTGCTAACGTTCCTGCCAGTCGGATTTCTCGTGCGCCTGCTGAAAGAGCTCGCCTTTACTTCCTACTCGCTTGGTTTAATGCTGTGGTACAAGAACGATTACGTTATGTTCCTTTAGGTTGGTCTAAACGATACGAATTTAATGAATCTGATCTCAAAGTTGCTTGTGATACCATTGATACTTGGGTTGACATGGCAGCATTAGGACGTTCGAATTTATCACCTGATAAAGTACCATGGTCTGCATTACGTACGTTATTAGGACAATGTATTTATGGTGGTAAAATTGATAATCTCTTCGATCAGCGTTTATTGGAAACTTTCCTCAGTGTTTTGTTTACAGAATCTAGCTTTGAAGTAAGTCACTATTTATATATTTTCTAAATGTTACCCTTAATTTTATTTGTTTTTTTATGTATTTAAACATACCTACATATAAAACAATGTTCTACATTTCAGTGGATTTTACACTATGGTATTAACTGGATTCTGTTTTCATTATATTATATAATTTATTTATGTTTTGTAGCACGATTTCCCTCTTGTTCGGAATGTCGATGGACAAGTAGGTAAAAATATCGTGACACCAGATGGCAGTTCACGCGATGAGCTCTTATCATGGATTTCAAAGTTACCTGATGTTCAAACTCCTTCTTGGCTTGGTTTACCGAACAATGCAGAGAAAGTGCTTCTAACTAATTTAGGTAAGTTAGTATACAGTTTTTTTTTAGAAAATCTGAGATTGTTTGTTGAAAGGACTAAAATTATTAATTCTATTTTTATTTCTCATAAGATTAAAATAAAAAGAAGCCCTTGTAGTCAGTCGGAATTCACATTTTTTATGGTGACTTGGCTTATGTAATTGTATCTATGGCTTAATTTAAATACAGCATAAAAAATATTTGTTTTAAGCAGAACGACTAAAATTTCTTTCAGTATTTAATTTTTGTATAGTATTCAGTTTTCGCAAATATTTAAAGAGAACCAATACTTTTTAAATATTCTTTGTAGTCAGAATGGGTTTTGTGGAGTTTTTTAGAAGTTTCACAGGTTGAAATCATGAGTCAATTGAAGCTAGACCACCATGGAAAACCTCGAAACACTGGACGGCCGTTTCATCCTAGTATGGGAGTCCCATACTAGGATGAAACGGCCGTCCAGTGTTTCGAGGTTTTCCATGGTGGTCTATTCTTTATAGGTTAAATTTACCAGAATTAGTTTTGGGTAATGTATGAAGAACATCAATTCTATTGATATAATTCATGAATAAATTATTCATCAGATTGAAAATAACCTAAGATTCTAATTTAGAGAAAAAAATTTTTCGCCTCAATTTCGCTTCCTTAATAAATTTATTTTCTTGACTTTCTTCAAAATTAAATGAAGTTTTCAGAGTTCTTTTTTGTTGTTGATTTTCATTTAATTACTCTTAAAGAAGTAATTGAACTTGACCAAGTTTCGGATGGATTTTCACAGTTTGGTCTTGTTTGTTTGATTTAAAAAAAAATTGAACACACTTTTATGTTGTTGTGTTTGCCTGTTTTCTTAACAAAATACTTTTTTAAAAATACAATACATATAAGATGTGCATCTTGCTAGTTTTAGTTAGTAATTTGAAAACTTGAATTGTTTTCCAATTTTTAGGAAGTGAAATGATTAGTAACCTCTTGAAGCTACAGGAAGCTATCAGTGATGATGACTCAATTGTTGTAAGCACTGGATTAGATCGTAAAAAGTCTGTAGTGGATACTGACACTCGACCTTTGTGGATGCGTCAACTTTTAACTAGTGCTACAACTTGGCTTTCGCTTTTACCGGATGCTTTAAAACCGTTGATGCGTACACCTGAAAATTTACGTGATCCACTTTATCGATTTTTTGAAAGGGAAGTTAATACTGGTTGTAATCTTTTAACAACAGTTCGAGGAGATCTTAGTGTTGTTATTGCTGTAAGTATTGAGTGAATTACTTTGTTTTGGCTTTTCTTTGTGTTTCTAAGTGTATTTCTCACTAGAAACACTCTCATATGAGTTGTTTTCCATTTTTCTGTTCACTATGTTTTTTAGGGGGCAGCAAAATAATGAAATTATTATTTAATAACTGTATAAATGTTTTTATCCTGATATTTGGAGTTTCGAGGTATCGAGTGGACAAAATATAAGCGACTATCAAATTTGATCTACAAAAACCCGACATTTCCTAATTAACTTCTAGATTTTTCTGGATATTTCTACTTTAACACGTTATAAGCTTTTTGAAATTTCGTATTATGTTCACTTTTCTTATCATTCGATACATTAGAGTTTCCGATATCTAAGTGTTGAGATGGAATTTTAATCTTGTAATGTTTTTTTTGTTTGTCGTTCAGAACATATGTGCCATTGTGATATTTATCAGTGTAATGTGCATCAGTCCTGGTCTTGTAAATCTGTAGCTGTAAGGATATGTGCAACACTGTACTACCTTGATGCTTAGATTCAGTAAAATTCTGTTCTCGTTTCATGACTTGTAATAAACTCCTGTAAAAATTCGAAGAATTTGTAAATTAATTAAAATAGTATATTCTATGACTCAGTATTTGATCCTCAACGTTTATCGAATGAAAGTGATTTATTTAGTATTTTTCGCTATAACTTAGGTATTGGTATGTTAGAAAGTAACATTGAGCGAATAAATTTTAACGCTCGAATAAAATAAATTTTACGTCCAATAAACTTTGGTTCAAAAGAAATTGTTTAAAATTATGATTACTATGTTTGATAATAATTCGATTTCGTACACACCATACAGGTATGTGCTGGTGAACGAAAACCAACAAATCATCATCGGCTTCTGATGTCTGACTTAACAAAAGGAATCATTCCAAAAGATTGGCGCCGTTACACTTTCCCTGAAGGTCTAACTGTCATACAATGGATAAATGACTTTGTGTCTCGTTTAAGACAATTACTATTAGTAACTGAAACATCTTCGAATGGGGTCGCTGGTCTGAGAGATATTCAGGTTTGTTTCACATGCTCTTAGCAGATTATTAGTTAATTAAATTATTTAGTTAAAATTCATCTTAAGTGTTACAGTTTTTGTTAATTCATTGACCTTAGCTTCAATAACATGAATGTGTTAATTGTTTGCCTTTTGAATTAGACTTACGCGTTTATATGCAAGGCTACACATTCACAGTCACTTTAATTCTAGTTTAATCAGTTATTTACAAATAAATTCCCTGTTTTATCACTTTTCATGTACAGGTTAATTTATGATTCGGATTTTTCTCTGAAATACATCTATAAGTTACGTTTTCATACTTAATTAAACAGGATTTATGAAGCAGTGCCTTATAGGTTAAAACACGTTTTTTGAGCCAAATATTTTACGAATGCTAGTTCAGACTACTTGGCTTTTCAAAACGATTTCGGTGAGAATGGTAACTCAAGTTTGGAAATCAGTAGTTTTATTACTAATTCATTGGTTAGCGATTAGATCATTTGTAAAGTTCTAGATTCTTTCACGTTTCGTTAACACGTTTTAACGCATAAAATTCGAAGCAGATAAAAATAATGAATATATGTTTGCTTAACTTAAAAGTACTTGAACCGAATTTTCAACTAATAATACAATAAAACAATATCTGCTGAATTTCATTTTGTTTTAACAAAAGTCTCAAAAAGATTTTGTAAAGAAGTATTTTCTTTTAGAATTTACTCTATCCTATTTAATTCTTTAATATGTTGTATATAATATTTTTTTATGGGTGTTCATATGTTAAAATTATCTAACATTTCAGATATGAGTTATTTAACTTTGTCCGATAGTTTTCTATAAAAATGTACATTTTTCAGGTTTGGTTAGGTGGACTTTTTATGCCTGAAGCTTACATTACAGCTACTAGACAATTTGTTGCTCAATCTAATGGCTGGGCTCTTGAAGAATTATACTTAGATGTAGAACTTGTAATCGTAGGAAAAGGTAAGAAACCACCTCAACTTCCTTCATCAAATTCTGGAGCGTTTGTTGTTCGAGATTTATGGTTAATGGGTGCAGAACCGTTGAATGCAACTACAATTCAATTATCAAGTTCCATTTCAGTTGAACTCCCAGTTACAGTATTAAAGTGGATCAAGTAAGTTATTTAATTAAATGGCAATTATTTCATCAATTTATTCCGTTCGTGAAACACCAGTACGTTTTTTACGGTTATCGGTGTGTTCGATATGCTCGTAACTGGAACAGCCGAGCATCTTTGTATTAAAGTTAAACACTAGAAAACTAAACGGTTCTAATGTTTACGGAATTACTAGTGTTACCCATCAGTATACGTTTTTGATTATATGGTTCCTTGAGACATTCATAATGTGCTATTTCATGAAAATAGTAATAAATCTCTGGTACAAATTTCTCTCCTCGAAATTAAACGAAAACTTATCAATACCTTATAACATATTTGAAATGATTCTACATAATTTCAATAAGGTCTGTGTAAGTCAATGTTTGTCCAAGGGAACTAACAGAAGAATTCTATGAATTTGGAGTCTATTACCGCAGAATCGATGAGCCGTTACATATTCTATTATCCCCATCTATGTTTCAGTTTAATATTTTCAGACCAAAATAATCTAATGTACTGAGCCAATCGAACATCGGTTCACTGTTAGTCACACTCGATTAGCCAAGGTATGTTTTTTAAAAAAAAATATAGCACACACCGTTGGTTGAGAAATGTGGCTTTAATTTGTAAGGGATATATATAAGGCTTCCTTCTCATCCAAGTTTTCGGCTGTGCTTGGATGTAGCAAGCTCGTTTATCAGTTTCAGAATCGGACACATTATAACCTAGAAAAACATTTGTGTATGGTTTTATGTTACCGTCTCATGAATATAATAGGAATGATGGTTATAGTTTTTCACGAAGTGATAAATGAATGAATATAACTTGATGTATACTTTATTTTCCGAATATTTTACAGATTATCTAATGATGAACGAGTTGAACGATTCTTAGAGAAAGAAGGTAATGTACGATTACCAGTTTATATGAACGGTTCACGTAATGTTGTACTATTCACCTTACAAATGATGTCCTCTGAATCATCTAATCGTTTCTACGAACGTGGTGTTGCTTTTCTTGCATCATCTCTTGCCTGAATTGTATAATCTCATAGTAAATTAAGGGAACGGGAAAAAAGCATGATTTTTCATTTTCCAACTATTATTGGCGTTTACTGTTACGAATAAAATATAAAAAGAGAACTAGTACTTTATCATTATTTTGCGCCAATGTATTCATTAATAAAAAAAAAGATGTAGATCATTTTATAAAATGATCAGATTGTTTTATGTTGTTGAATTATCCTATTATTTTTTAGTATTTTATGAGTTTCTGTTCCTTTCAAACTTTTTTTTGTCTCAACTCTTGTCTGCCTGTTTGTCTAGTGATTTGACTTTCTACATATCTAACAATGGTTTACCGGTCACTATTCTGCTGCACTAGATTGTTTAATTCTAATTGTCATGTGTTTATTTATTTAAAGGGGGTTTTTATGATCTCTTTTCTGTGTTTTGTCTAGTTTATAACAATATTTCCTCTTTTATTTTCTATGACTTACAAAGGACGGTAACATTTATGCATCATTCTGTTTTTAGGCGTTGTTTATTTTTATTATTATTATTAATTACCTGTTTCACCTTCTACTTGTTACTATTTTGGTGGTCAGGTCGCTGTCTTGTACTTACTTCTTTTGGATCTCTATCCTTTTATATACACACATAACATCTATTCTTGTTAATTTAATATCCAGTATTATCAAGGTTGATTTTAATAACTTTTTGTTGTAAGTGATGTATGTCTGAATTTGTTATCGGAATCTCGCTAAATAGTAATCAAGACTATTCTCTGGTACTTAGTCTATTCATTCAATCATGCTATTCACTGTAGCTATATCATTAACTATTTCCTATTAATAATCATAAGGCAGTCTCCAGAATGTTTTAGGTTCTATATTCAGCTTGAGTTCTTTAACGCCATAATTCCATGTTAGGTGAAGCATAAGTTTCCCAAGTGCTTCAGATACACTTCGCTATTGACTACATGGTTACAATAAAAGAAATAGAGATTCCACATAGAAAGTTAGTTTTAATCAATGTTCATGTTTCTTGTTCCATTCTAGTTCATTTATCCAAAGATTTTTTGTAGATCTGTATTCTGTATAGTAACCAAAATTGTTAATGGTATACAAAGGTTATAGCGCATAGAAGAATATAAAAATACGAAATTTAAGTGGAAAACTAAATGTATAAATATGTAATCGATAATTGAGTAGCAGTGTTTATCTAAAAAAACTACATAGGTGACTATTCTTTTAAAAATACTAGGAACTCAGAACTAAAGAAGAAGATAAACTGAGATATTTTTTTTACAGTAAAGTGATGATTATGTTAAACATTTACATTGGGGACATCGATTGTCGGACTAGGTAATTGTTATGACTGGTGGTCGACTGTTATGACTGCGTGACCAATTGTTATATCTGTTCGTCGCTAATTGTTTTGTCGGAGTCGCTTATTATCTGTAAAACGAAGAACCACCTCATTTCTCATGACGCAAAGTAAGAACGCCATGACTAGTACGAGTGAATATTCATTAACTCCAAACATGACGACGACCCTAGTCGAAAATACATTCATTTCTATATTGACTTTACACCCATTTTGCATAATGGGTGCTATAACAATAATTGCTATAGGATCATATATATGAAAAATGTCCAGAGTTATAATAAACCACTTGCTGCGTGTCATACTGAGCATAGTTCATGTTAATTTTTAATAGAAGAATGTCGTCTGTTATACCGAATAAAATCTCAGCACGGATACAGAAGGCTCGACTAGCTTTTGCCAACTTGCGTCATTTATGGCGTAGGCGAGATATCCGTCTATCAACCAAAGGACGGGTTTACTGTGCAGCAGTTCGTTCCATCCTACTTTATGGCAGTGAAACATGGCCGGTAAGAGTTGAAGATATTCGTAGGTTACTAGTATTTGATCATAGGTGTCTTCGAAATATTGCTCGTATATCCTGGGACTTTCGAGTAAGTAACGCAGTTGTCAGGAAACGTACTAGGTAAGGATGGTAAATCAATTGATGACGTAGTGAAACTTCATCAGTTGAGATGGCTGGAACACGTGTTACGTATGTCCAACCACCGACTGCCTCGACGTACGATGTTCAGTGGTATAAGAGTAGGTTGGAAGAAAGCTAGGGGCGGCCAGACCAAAACATGGCACAAATCCATGAAGTCACTGACAAGTGGACTGAGTCATGTTGGTAGGTGTAGACTACCTGGTTGGGGACCACGAGATGATAGCAACCGATGGTTAGAGACCCTGAATGACATGGCTCAAAATCGTTTGCAATGGCGCAGGTGCATCCACTCTTTGTGTTCTCTCAAATTCATTTCACTGTATTATACTCTTTAAGTAACATCTCCAAACACCCATCTTTCTGATTACTGCTTATACTCTTAATACCTCTACCACTACGGAATTTGAATCGACCACTGCATCTCTGTGCTAATGTGGTGTGGCAACTCGAACTGATGTACATACGTACGAAGTTCTACGTTGTTACTGACTGACTGACACTGAGTAATCATCACATTGAATTAACAACGGTAGTAATGTTGACCAAAAATCACAATGAGTAAAAGAATGTAATTCTACGTTTTAATTCTATCATATCGGTATTAATGCTTGATTTTTGTAAATGTATTTTAACATTTTCTGGTTTGCTACATGGTCATGAGAGTACATTGAAGAGATAGGAAAAGGAGTTTATTTATTTAATCACATAAAGATTAGTACAAGGGGGCACCAAATACATATGTGACACTCAGCAATCAGGTTGTAAAGAGATATAAAATGTAAAGTCAGTATAGTAAAAAAGAATAACAATGAACAGAGGTTAATATATGAGAATGAATTACTACTAATAATAATAGTAATGAGGGAAGCAGTTCAGTTAGGGAAAATATAACCAGCAACAGTTCTTTCAGTTAAGGAAGCTACTTTCACTTTTATGGTGAAGGTTACGGCAGGAAATCAGCCTGCTCCTCGCTAGTCAATCTTTTTCGAGTTCTGGACAATCTACGAAGGATGACGGAAGTCAATAGTTTGGACTCAATCGGAAGTAGACTTACCCCTCGATATTGTTACAGAAACGACATGAGACCTTTCCAAAGATATGAACAACTATCAACTGGTTCTATGATGTTGGAAGTCACCATCTTTAAGACGGGTCGTAGGTCAGTCATCACTGGCCATGGAAGTAGGCAGTTTGATCGATGTTTCCTGGGCAGCAGACCAGTTGAACTGCTCCTCGAAAAACTACCCATCGTCCAAGACATCGGTAGATGTTATTAATCAGCATCCCATCATCTTTACAGATTGTTTCACTCACATCAGACTTTTTGATGCCAGTGACTCGGATGAGTTGAAAGAGGGTCAGCTGCTGTTTCTAACTCGTTAGCACGCTTCGACCACCAGGCTTCTTTGTCCTTAAGGAAGCTTTGCACAATTTCATCGTTTAACGATCTTCGTTTATGATCAAACTCTCAGTGACAATCACAAAGTAGTTAGTTTACCTCATGTAGTGTCTAGACCGTTAGCTTTAACAATACATAAACGTCTAACTAGAGCTCGTAAAGAGGGGACCCGAGTAAACCATGCTGGTTTCAGACCTGGGCGTGGATGTACAGGACAAATATTGTGCAGCAGTTCACTCTAATTTATGGATTTGGAACGTGGCTTTTAAGAGTAGAAGATATTCATGGTTTACTGCTACTCGATCACAGGAGTTTGCGAAACATCGCTAATGTATTTTGTGACGATGGAGTACGCAATGAATAGGTTGGGAATAGAGTTCAAGGTAAAGATGGTGAATTGATTGATGAGGTAGTAAATATTCATCAACCGAGGTGGTTGGGATGTGTTACGTACGCTCAACCACCGCTTACCTCGACCGGCTATGTTTTTGTAGTAGTTAAGAAAGGTACGGGCGGCCAAACCAAAACATGACACCAGTCCGTCAAATCTCTGACAATCGGGTTTAACCGTATTCATGGGTGTAGAATAGCTGGTTAAGGTCCACGTAATTGTCACAACTATTGTTTAGAGACTTTGACATGGCTCAAAATCTTTTGCAATGGTACGGGTTTATCCATTCTTCGTTTTCGCCCAAATCCTGAGATTCTAAATTCCTCATAACTGATTTTGTTTACAGTTCGCTAATTTTTCTTTTCGAGTAGTATCTTCAATGCATAATTTTTCCTATTACCGTTGATACTATTATTACCTCTGCTCTTCTTGGATTTGGGCTGAGAACTTAATCTCTCTGTGTTAAAGTGTTATGGTAACTTGAACCGATATACATGCGTACAGGTTCTACGTTGTGACTGACTGACTGACTGACTGAACGAACATGTGTCATAGTAAGAAACGGAATAGAGATTTAAAAGAGAACTGCTCACTTAGAGAATACAGAAGATGAAGAAGAAAAAACCAGCACATGTCAATAAATGACAGGTAAAACATGAGGAGGTGTTAGGACCATGCTAAACTAGGGGATTGGATATACCGCTTATAAACACAAAGTCAAGTCTAGAATTGATGAAACGTCAGAGCCTTCGCTGCACACAAGTTTCCTTTTCAGATTCTCTTCCAACCATTTCGTCTAACTTTGAATAATTTCAAATGAGGATTTCGGTAGACATTAATGACCAGAATTGACTCTATGTTCAAAGATTTTGGTATTAACTGATTCGCATCCACCCTTCGGTAACCATGCTGGATAGTGCTTAGATGTGCATTTGGAAAAAGCACGCCTTGTGCGGTTAACATAATAAACTTAATCGGAGCAAATAATCTAGTAGATACACAGCAAAGTGGCTGCTTATTCTTAAAAAGCCTTCTTTGAAGATCTAGATAGTCGGTTTCTCAAGATCTTTAGAAGTGTACCTCCTCTGAAATCGATTTTCATGGACATTTTTGGTACTGTAGGGGTCCTTCAACTTGAGCGCTTGGGCTTCAGACTACTGTCAATGGATCTAGAATTAGATCCATATTCCATAAGCATTTGCCGGATCTCGTCT